AGAAGTGATTGACCAATTAGAAACTCCCAATAACCATATAGAAATGCATTTCACGCACGCACACAAGCTTGGTCCGTCACACGTACGTAGCTCGGCTTTCTTCATGACCACGCTAGTCAAGCTTGATATRATAATTTATTTATTAAATAAATAAAAAATTTATTCTATTTTTCTATATTTAAAGTACACGTATCTTCTTAATTCTAATGTACATTTGTTTTAACGTTCCTGTGCAGTAGTGACTTCGGTGGGGAAAATTTTCATCGAAAAGAATATCATATTGAAATTATTTAATATTCAAACTATGTGTTAATAAGTATGTAATGCTTATACTAGTATACATATGTTTAAACAATCTGAAATATAAAAAGAGTGCATTACACTCTTGAATTACAGTTAACATTTTATTTTTTAACAGATATATGAAAATGAAAATGAAATTGGTATATATATACCTGCAGGGGATATATTTAAAATTGATTTCCAAAGTAACATCTTATAGGGTAGTGAAAAGAAATAGGTTTATCGTTCATAATGTATAAACAATAAGTAAATATTTTGTAAATAATAATTTTTTTTTAATATATAAATAATTAATAAAGTGTGCAATTATAGATTTGAAATGTGCAATTAAGAGCATTTATTCTTTTTTTCTGCGATGAAGATTTTTTACTGTCGGTAATTCTGATGGTAAGTTACCATCAGATCTTTTCGGTCGGTTAGTCGTATTATCGACTGTCAGCAATTTTGATGTTAAGTTACCATCAGATCTTTTCAGTCTGTAAGTCGTATTACCGACTGTTTACAAGATAAAGGTAGACAACTACTATTACCGATATCGGCTTAGCTATGTTACTAGAATTTCAATATATTTTAAACTTGCTTATCTCCTAGTAACTTTTAATAGCAATTAGTGTACACAAAGTGAATGTGTAATTAAATTCTGTATACATTTAAAAACAAACCATTAGAAATCTAATATAGATATTTTGTTTTAATTATTGAATAAAGGAGTTTTTGAACAGGTACAAAAGAAGAATAAAGGATTGTCTTTGAACAGGTACAGAAGAAAAGACTTACTAGATTAATAATTGACCGATATTATATTGGAGCTAGAAAAACTGGAGAAAAAGAGACAAACCAAAAGTGTGCAATTGATTGAAATCAAAAAACAATAGGAAACTTTATTGTTTTGCTTAGAAATATGAGAAAAAACGTTTTCGATTTTTCAATTATTGATAATTAATTAAATAATTAATTAATAAAGTGGGATTTAATATAGGGATTTTGATTGAGCAATTAAGAGCAGTTATTAATTTTTTTCTGTTGTTGTGGTTCTGTGCCAATTTTTTTGTGCTCAAAACTTTCGTAATATAATTCAATGCATTTGAATCACGCGGTAATATTTTGAACTGTTTCCGATCGAGTCAAAAAATATCGATTGAGAAATAAAATTATTTTTAATACTCCACGCTTCCTGTAAAGGACGCTTCACAGAATTTTCCAATTCTCCATGATGAATTTTTCTTGATCGTGTCTCGAGGTAGGTGAGTGCCAATTTATTTTTGATATTGTAATACATTAGGACAAAAATTGTAAATATATTATTTTGTGTATTATACTACTGATACTGGTAAAATAATATTATTAACATTTTACATAAATTGAGTATAAATTGAAACTTAACTTTAATATTGTTGTTATTTAAAAAGAAAGGTACTTCTGTGATTTACAATTTATTAAGAAAAGAAACGTATTTTGTCTTAACTATCTAATTTTACTTTAATCCTTTACTTTTATTTGTTATAAAAAATATAAATAAGAAAAGCTAAAATATTTCTATTTCTATTAAATTTATTTTTCATTTATTCAAACACTTTGATTATTCACCCTGTTGGTTGCTACTTAACCTTTTTTAGATCTTTTTTAATTCTGAGAACTCTATCATTGTATGCAATATTTGCTTTAATTATAACTTTCAATGTAATATCCTTTCGACATTTTCATTTTATTATTTAAAACAATTTTTATATTATAGCAAGTGTTCCTAAATATTAAAATAAAAATGGGAGACTCAGATGACGAATATGACAGAAAAAGGCGTGATAAGTTCAGAGGTGAAAGAAATGAATCATATTCTCGTGAAGGACGTAGGGATGACCGAAGAAGAGATGATTGGGTTGATAGGTATATAAAAATATCTTCTTATTAAAATATAGAATGCTTAAAATTTTAACCATTTGTGTCAGAAGCAACACGATAGCATTATTATTATATTCTCATTGTAAAATTCGACATTATTGAAATGCAATATGCAGTTGATACGTACTCACACTGCTTGCCATTTGTCTATACAATTCTTCTAAATTACCCCTGGAACTCAAATGGTTAATAAATATAAGCTTATATAATATACATGTGTAAATGAAAAACTAGAGAAAATCCTTATTTTTTGTTCTTTGTATAACGTAACATAGACATTGCATTAATCATTTTCAGGAAAAATAATTTCAAGTTGAAGGTAATAAATAGATAGAATTTGAGCTTTACGATATCAAACAATTCAATCAATATAATTACTCCTTTGTATTTTATAATTACCGATGCAGAAGTCCTTTATTCCTTATTTGCATATCCCTGTTCCTAATGTTGCTACCTTTCGTTGTTTTAATTTAAGGTGAGAACTTAAATCAAATGATATCATACATGTAATATTGCATTATTAGTTCCTTCGACAATATCGAATGCAATTTTGTGTTAAACATATTGAGAAATTTGAATTAAAGTAAATCTAAAATGTGTTGATTATTATAGGGAATGGTCCAGTCGTCCTAGACAAAGACCTGATTACCGTGAATATCGTGGTGGTGGTGGTGGTGGTAGTGGAGGTGGTGGACGTGATCGATATAGTCCACCACGATCTCAAGATATGGCACCACCTATTAAAAGAATGCGAGCTGATTGGGATGATAGACCGAGATATGCTCACGATTATTATGGAGGTGGTGGGAGTGCTAGTGGCGGTGGAAATGCTTGGGGTCCAGATCATTACCCACCTCCTCACCATGGTAACCATCACTATGGGAACCATAGTAACAGTAGCAGGTTTGTTTATTTTTCTCCATTTGTTACATAAACATATTTATATTACATAGAATATAGCAATTAATGTGAAACTTAAAATTAAATTGCATTAAATTTAAATAAGATATATAATAATAATAATGCGAAAACGAAGTCGTTTAACTCCTAGACTTTTAGCTAAATTAAGGTAAAATGTTAAGGATATACAGGATAAGTGAAAATGAATGAATTTTCAATGAAAATTGTTCTTTTGTAGCCGTGAGGTGGCTGGAAATTTCAGCAACTCGAATGTTGAAACTCAACCACCGATGATGTCATTCAAAGCATTTCTTGGAACACAAGAAGACACTATTACAGACGAAGAGGCTATTAAACGCTATAATGAGTACAAACTGGAATTCCGAAGGCAGCAGCTCAATGAATTCTTTGTAGCGCACAAGGATGAAGAATGGTATGTTGATATTATTATTCTACAATATGTTATATTACTCGTTATTACAAAAAGAAAAATATCATTTGTGAAGATTATTAGTTATTTCTTAGTTATAGTAAAATTTAATTATCATAGTGTAAAGGTCTGTATTAAAATGTGATGTATTCGTGAAACGCGTGATAGAAATAATTCTCAAATTCAGCCAAAGTGGCTGTAACATATTACAAAATAGAATATATCATTATAAAAAGAAAATAATATATACAGGAATTGTAGGATTTTATTTGACTATTTCAAATTTTTTATTTACTAGAAAAATACTAATTAGAAATTGTTTGAAGAATTTGAAATGATATTATACAAGGTGTCTGCGGTTGTTCCAGCCAAACTGTGTCAGTGTATTATATGCGTGTAAATAAGAAAAAAATCATACAATATGTTGACACAGTTTAACTAGAAAAATTTCAGATATCTTGTATATATATATAAAGAAATAATAAAATTGATACTTAAAATGTGTGGGCAGAAAAGGTATATCTCTTTGTAAAGGAGTTAGTTTAGAATGATAATGTATAATTTGCAGATGTAACGTGATAGATAATTTTCAAACAATATTACCAACTTTGTCTATCCCTACAGCATACACAGCCGCCATCCGCCTTATACCTTGGGCACAGGTCATCTCGCCCGTTTATTTTATTCGTACGAACATTTTTATCCATTTCGCGTATCGCGCATCGAAGAAGAATCTCGAGGTGTTGTTGTTATATTAGGTAGTTGGATAAATAACATTTGATGTGAGCTGGGCGCGCAAAGCCCTAAAACATTGCTCACGTAGGCCGCGTTCTAAACCCGCTTTATTCATTTTTACAATTATTCAATCTATGCTCTGTCATATGAAAATAGCCACTGTGTCAACGAGAATACTGAATGCAAGTAAAAATATGACACTACAGGTGAGGCTTTATTCTGTAACTGAAACCAAAAAAAAAAAAACAAAACAAAAAAAAATGATATGCAGTCATGTTGTATTTATAACTCATTCCAAATCACATACATTTTAGTTTATTCAAATGGTAATTATTATTTTAGACCAAGACTGGAAACGAATAGAAAATGGTTTGAAGTGTTTTTATATTTAAAAATAATCGACTTTTTTCATATGCTTGATCTCTTTCAAGTTATTTGTACTCTTATCAATTTTTCAATTAGAAACAGTAATATATGTAATGATGTATAAATGCTATTTTCTTTTGGGCTACATCCTAACGTAAATTTACATATTTTATTTTAAAATTAATTCTTATTATTAAATAATAATTATTTGTCAACATGATAGTAATATATAATCAAATTATTAACGCTATCGTGTGTGTCTGTTAGAAGATATTCACTGAATCTAAGTTGTTACTGTAGACGACTTGTTAAAAACATATCTACATCTTAATACTAAATGCCTTTCAACTTCAACAATTATATTAAACAATAAAAATCTATATAAATAAATAATGATATATTCAGTATAAGATAATATATTAAAATGATAATTTCATTTGTTTATTCGATAGGTTCAAAATAAAATATCACCCGGAAGAATCGTTGAAGAGAAAAGAAGAGCAACTTGCAGCTCTTAAGGTATTAAATACAAATAAAAGTCTCACACGTTTTGTTATAGTATAAGTTAATTATTTCGATTTTATACAAAATTTTCTTTTTTCAATGATTTATTTTAGAAACGCGTTGAAGTATTTATAGATATGCTTCAAACAGAAGAAGTAGATAATGTTTCTGTAGATGCTGAACAAGCAGACGCATTGTTACGTCTTTTAGATGCAGTTGTAATTAAATTGGAAGGTGGTACGGAAGAGGACTTACAAATTTTAGATGTAAAACCATCAAACATTATGATTCCTAAGGATACTGGAATTAAGGAGAAAATTGAAACTAAAATTAAATCTGCAACAGAACAACAACAGCAACAATCTGAAAAGAAGTATGAATTACTCTTAAAATTTGATTTATAAAATTATATTAAATTATATGTTTCTTTACATTATAACTTTATTTTCTTTTAGTGAAAGTATTAAAAACGAAGAATCGGTAACAGAGGAAAAATCAAATAAAAATGGAGAGAATGCTGACATGACGGAAATGAAGGATGCTGAAGAAAATGAAAATGCTGTAAGCGAGCCGGAGAAGATGGACGAAGTTTCAGAAGAAACGAAAATTAAGGAAGAAAATTCTAAGTCTGAAGAAACGAGTATGTCACCGTTATTAATATAATTTATTTTACATTTTTTGTTTTCATACTAGTCATTAATTTAATTAATTACAGATGATAAATTAGAAGAAACTAATACAAGAAAAAGAAAACGAACCAATAGCAACAGTAGTAGCAGCAGCAGTACTACCAGTAGCTCATCGGAAAGTGGGAGCAATAAGATGAATACTCTTAAAGCTGATACAACATGTAAATATTATTATATTACTTATCAATATTTATATATAATTAAATTTAATATTAATATTATATATTATTATTTATAAATTACTATAATTCAGCCACAAATGAAAAGATAGAAGAAACTAATGACAATGATAATGATAATGACAATGAAAATGAAAATGACAATAATGAAGACATAGCAATAAAAGAAGAAAAGGAAGAAGCAAAACTAGACCAAGTAGACTCAACAGAAGTTAAAAAGCCTACAATTGAACCGGAAACTGTTATTGATCTAGCAAGTGAAGATAAAGAAAAGGAACCAAGAGCGCTTCATAAAACAAGTAGCATATTTCTTAGAAATTTAGCACCAACTATTACAAAAGCCGAAGTCGAAGCGGTAAAATATACATAAATATTATTTTTTCTTTTAATTATAAATCACTTCGATCGAATTACAACTGTAATTTAATATTTTCTTAGATGTGTAAACGTTTCCCTGGTTTTTTACGAGTTGCAATAGCTGATCCGCAACCGGAAAGAAGATGGTTCCGACGTGGTTGGGTTTCGTTTGAAAGACAAGTTAATATCAAAGAAATTTGTTGGAGTTTGAATAATATACGAGTTAGTATAAAACACTATTTCTTCTTATTCCATTATTACATCAATGAAATACATAAATTTATTATTATTATTTATTTTTCAATAGTTGAGAGATTGTGAATTAGGTGCAATAGTGAACAGAGATTTATCGCGTCGTATTCGGACAGTTAATGGATTAACATCTCATAAACAAATAGTCAGACACGATATTAAACTCAGCGCTAAAATCGTGCATAATTTAGATAATCGTGTTGGATTGTGGAAAGACGAGAAGAAAGAAGAAAATTCTAACAAACAAAACGATGACAATAAAGAAAATACGACAACGTCTCAAAGTGAAGTTGAACAGGCTGTAAGTTATCAAAGTGATTCCATTTTCTTTATCCTCTAACCATAAAACTAAATAAAATTCAATTTATTATGTTTTTTTAGGCTTTTGGATTGTCCTCGAAAAATCCAGTATTGAAAAATATAACAGATTATTTGATAGAGGAAGCATCAGCAGAAGAAGAAGAATTGTTAGGCATGTCGGGTGACCAAGAAGAAGGTCAATTAGGAGGAGACGGAGATGGTCCAATAGAAAGAGATCCATCCTTGATTAAAGTAATTTTTAAACTATTTCAAAATGAATTATTACAAATCATATTAAATTCAGGATAACACAGGACATAATCCTAAAAAAGAAAAAGAAAAAGAAGAAGATATTAAATTCGATTGGATGAATTTATTAATTAATTTCTTTATTCTTAGGTACTGGACAGATTAATATTGTATTTACGCGTAGTACATTCGGTTGATTACTACAATCATTGTGAATATCCGAATGAAGATGAAATGCCTAATAGGTGTGGAATAATGCACGTTAGGGGTTCTCCACCTACTGCTAAAATTACTAGTACTGAATTACAAGAATATTGCCGTAACTTTGAAACTAAAATGTCTGCTTTTCTACAACCTGCTGCTTCCCTGTCAACAGAAGAATTTGACAAGCTCGGTGCTAAAAATGCTGATGCGTATCCTTTTTATTATTTCGCTAGTAACGAAGGGGTTAATAAGAAACGGCCCAATAAAATATTATATAATTTATTTAGTATTTTCTCTCGTCCAAAATTATAATTTTTAATGATAAAGTTTCATAGGGAACTTGCTGCTGAAGTTTAATGATTAAGATGCTGAAGAAGTCCCAATAAAGGGACGAAACGTCCAACTCAATTAAATTAAGTTCTACTTCTTTTCATGTCCAAGTTCTCTATGAAACTTTATCATTAAAATATTATATAATATTTTATAAATATATAAATTTATCTCTCTCTCTCTATCAATACTTTTCTTAACTAAATAATATACAGTGAGGTAGAAAAATTTGTGCAAGCAAACACGCAGGAATTGGCAAAAGACAAATGGTTGTGTCCTTTAAGTGGGAAGAAATTTAAAGGACCTGATTTTATTCGCAAACATATATTCAACAAGCACGCGGAGAAAGTTAACGAAGTTATGACTGAAGCTGAATATTTTAATAATTATTTGAAAGATCCTAAACGACCACAGCTTCCAGAACATCCTGGTAATAAAGCACCACCTAGGGAAGGACCACGTGAAGGGTTTAACCCTTACGGTTGTAGCACGTAAGTATCATTATAATTACGCTTTTATTCTGATAACTATAATTTAAGAAAATAATAAAACAATACATTTATTACTCAACGTGAATCTACAAACAAAATTGTTTAATTATTCATCTTCAGATTTGGAAGTTACGGTGCCGGTTATGGAGGAGGAAGAGGAGGTTACGGATCCAATTATGGTGGTGGATTTGGTGGAGGATTTGGTATGCCTCGTCCCGGTCGTGGTGGTTTTAACAGAGGACGGTAAGATAATTAATTTCATCTTATATCATTTCAAATCATTTTTTTTTCTATCATTCCCTGCTAACTGCACTTTTCTTCTCTTGCTTTCAATATCTTCGCATGCCTGCGTTTTGTTTCAGTTTTACATATCTAATTTAAAACATATTTACACATATCTTCTTCTCAAATCTAATATGTTGTTGTTAACATTATACTACAAACGTAGAAAATATTCGATAAAGAAATACATGAACCATTTAAATATATTTTATACAATATATATATATATATATATGTATATATATATATATATATTTATTGTATAAAATATATATTCTATTATTTATATTATATATATATATAAAATATACAATATAATATATTCAGGGTAAAATAATTAGATTATAGTCATCGTAGATAGATTTTTTTTTTGAACAAAGTCAAAACAATGTTTACAGGGACGAAGAAGCCATATCGACGTCAAGAACTATTATTAATTATAGTGACTTGGAACAGAGGAATGTGGACATTTTCTCTTGAATTTTTATTCGATTATTTTTATTTGAATTAGCGAAAAAGAAAGTTTAAAAGTAAAATAGAATCGAATATATTTGGTCCCCGCCGAGCTAACAGATATATTTTTATTTTAGATTATATGGGGTAATACTATATATATATATATTATATTTAAAAAAAGAAACAAAGAAACACAAATATGTTCACTGCTATCTGCTATCTATCTGTACATGTGTTACTAAATCTGCACATATATTTTTTTTATATATAATTGTGTGGGCCGATAATTGTGGAAAAAAATTCTAAAAATTTATTTCATAATATCCAAATAAATCATAAAATTCGTATTTTCAATCTTTTGACTTAGTCCACTGTCATAATTATCGACACATATTTATATTTACTCTAACTTAAAAACAATCAAACAAGATACATGCATCGAGATCCAAACGTATGCAAAAAACAAGAAAAAATAAATGAACTATGTGCATACATATATTAAGATGATTTCTTTTTGTATAATGATAAAAATAAATTAGTACAAGGATCGATCGGTGCTGTAACTTATAAATTGTGTGAATAACTAAATAAAACCTTTTTGTTTACTAATTATTTGTGACTTTTTTTTTATTTTAAAACCCACTTCCGTGTGTTTCTCGTGATCTAAAAATACGATACAATATGTATATGCGTATACTAATTATCCAAAAAATTTCCTATATCACACGGTATACAAAATTTTTATTGATGCATAAATTTGTGATGAAGTAAACTAATAATACTTACTATTACAGTGGCGGTGGAGGAGATTTCCGACCTGTTATACATTATCGAGACCTTGACGCACCACGTGAACCAGACGAATTTTTATAAAATTCTTTCAAACATTTTCTCAACAATGGAACATCCAAAAACAACAATACGTGCATATTCTCTCAATATCTCTATATATATATAGATATATGTATGTATATATATATATACATAGATATAAATATATAATAACAATATTATCTATCAAGCATAATAATTTAACAAAAGAAAAAAAGAAAAAAAAAAAAAGAAAAAAAAAGAATAAAATAAAAAAGAAAAAAAATAATGACAAAAAAACTTATATTTAAATATCGGATATAATTATTTTGTCAAATGTTTCGCATTTGAAAAAATAAAGAAAAGACGGAAAAAGAAGTCATATGCTTAAAATATTAATAATCTTACATATATGAGAAAAACCTTTCATCAATGTATATTCCTTAGTTATAGTAATATTAATAATGATATAGTATTAAAAATATAAAAGAAAATTATAATTATTATTATTATTCTGTATATGTATCCTTAAAAAATCATTAAAAAAAAAGAATTGGGTACATGAAGTCGTTATTCTGGTTTTTTTTTTGCTGATAAATACAAATAACAAATATGCTCGATTGTGTTTATGTAATAAAGACAAATATCATTTAAGTAATATCTTCTGTAAAAAAAAAAAGAATAAAAACTGAAAAATGAATTTACAAATAAATTTATTGTAAAGTACATAATAGTACTCGTTTATTTTAGAATAATATTCATTATCTGTTCATAATTGCTATATTATTTTTATACAAGACGTTTTTTATATGTACATTACATACATATCCATTATTTTAATATCAAATACTGTTACGTATAGTCACATCAGTTTCTTTCTCATTGCAAATACTTTTATTTGTTTATAAATATTAGATAATATGATCTTTACAGTGCCTTTCGTCACTATTGTCACCGCAATCGTCCATTCCATTGCATTTTGCTCCCTTTGCAATGCATCTACTATTTCTGAAAAAAAAAAAAAAAAAAACAAATATATAAACTTTTGTTTAAAAACTGTACAAGATGATTTGTTAACAAATACAACTTGTCCCTCAATTTTATATACCGAAAATTTATTATAAATTAAATAAAAATTAAAGCTGGGGGGGGGGAGCGGTTGTTTCAATTCATTTCCATTCAGTCAACTTCTATTTGAATTGTTTTCAATTTTGATGGTATAATTTTCTGTATAAATTAAGAGACTGACGGTATTGTTTAACGAATAAAAATTTGAAGGATAATTTACTGGCACGTGAATTCGTGCTTATTGCATCGACCCTCGCATCCATGTGGTTCGTCCGATCCATCGGTGCAATCAACCAAACCATCACAAAATCGAGCCCTTAATATACATTGCCCGTTACTGCACGTAAACTCGCTATCCAATGGGCAAGCTAAGATGAATAATATAATTGTTAATATTATTATCACTGTTTAAAAAGAAACAATTATGATAAATGAATATTCAATTACGATATTTATTTATATTTCATACTTTTTTCTAAATCATTATTAAAATATAGGATGATCATGCAGAAAAATCAATATTATATTAAGTGTTACAAAAGTGCACAACAGATTACATGCGAAAGTTTTTTTAGTGCATTCAAGATACCGATATGTACTCACACCGACCAAGATTATGACCTACGAAGAAGAAAACAAAAGATATATGGTGAAAAATATATTTATACTATTTTAAAAAAAAAAAGAAGAAGAAAAAGATAGGAATACGTAATCCAGAAATGTATTATAAGAGCAATTAGATTTAAAATAGAACTAAATTACGTATCAAAAAAGAAACTACGCAAGCTTTTTTATTCTCTTACGTGTGCATATTATGCGACAATATATACTAATTTGAAAATTCGATAAGATAGTAATATATTATTTATAAATTGTCATCGTATTTTCAAATGATATTTTTGTAAAAATCATCTACGAATATTTGTGCCGGCTATTTCTCATACGTATATAAATTAATCATAAATAATAATAATAATAATATTTTCAAAGATAATTATTTAAACGAACGAACACAAAATATGATACTTACCTAATGTGCAATTAATTTCATCGCTAGCATCCCAACAATCTATTCTACCATCGCACCTCCTTTCCAATGGAAGGCAAGAAGTATCATTGCCGCATTGAAAATGCGTCTCCGAATCGCAAACTAAAAATATATTAATAGAAAAATAAATTAATTATTATTATTATATATAAAAAACAATAATTGATAAATAAATATTGTAATATACGTTATTATAAAAATGAAATAGTAGAAATGAAAGATTGGAAACAGAAGCCTCGCAAAAACCACCAATGTAAAACTAGGCAAGCCGATAATACAAATTTGTAGATCACAAGGAAACTAGGTTAATACGATCGAACGTGGGGATTTGTTAAAAAAAAAAAAAATCAAACGAATCAATCCTTTGAATTTTATTTTATATCCTCTTCTCACCGCAATTGTACTCGTCCGAATGATCGTAACAATTCATATGACCATCGCAACGTTTTTCCATGGGAATACAAAGTGTATTCAAACAAGTCCACTCGTCGTCCAAACAGTAATGCTCTATCTCAACGCATCTATAACATAAAATAATACAAAAATATGAAAAGTTTAAAAAGAGTAAAATACGTTTGTGTGTGGTGGTCACAGATAGAAAATATTTTCAATTTTACAAATTTAATATTCGTAATTGTACACTAAACACATTGTTTTCTAAATGATTAAATCTCTCTCTCTCAGTAAAATTTAATTGATAAATTATTAAATATATTTCCTATGAAATATCAGAGAACAAATTTAAACAAAAATGCGTTTATATAAAAATGGTTTATACGAATTGTTCTTAAAATTAATGAGGACCAGGATAGAAGTAAAATCTTGAAAAAAGAAAAAAAAAAAGAATGTACGCGTGTATACCTAAAAGCATCGACGTCAAGACGATGACATCTCTGCTTGTTTATAAGACACAGACCAGCACATCCTGTTGGATCATCAGGATCCAAGCCGATTCTACAAATAGGTACTTCTTCATCGACCAAACCAACGCAGACCTCTCCACTTAAGCAGTCATCGCAATATCTCGTAGAATTAGTATTCGCATGATCAACGTTGAATGCTTCCGTTTCCGTTTTCGTGATCACCGAGGATGAAGTATCATCGGGGAACGATAAATCTACGTTTAAAAATACATCGGCCATTTGAGCGGTACTCGTAGTTGTTCTCGTAGTCGACGAGTCGATTTTATTCGACTCGTTTGAGAAAACTTGATTGAATGATTCATCAGACGTGACGTTTTGCAATGATGAATTTCCACCAGTCGATGATTTTAAATACAATTGAATAATTTGCAATTTTTGTGGTTCTGAAAATGAAATATAAAAGAAAAACCAATTAGAAAGTTGGACAATATTATTAGGGTGAACCAAAAGTTTGTGCATTTTTTTTAATTAATATTTCCAAAGTAAAGTTTCAACACAATAAACGTACGAAGTTTTGGTTCACCCTAATATTGTTTCATAAGGAATAAATATATGCTAAAATTAAATAATTAACATTTCTACGATGTTTTTTTTGTTGACTGTACTTTTAACTTGATCGTAAAAGATTAAGATAGTAAAAAGAAGGAAACAAATAAGAGAAGAGGTAGTTAAAGGAAATGGTTCTGTTGACCCAGCGGTTAAATTCATCTAGTAGAAGCAATTGGTACGCTTCGTCGAATCAAAGTGTGGATTTAACGTCTATCTTGTTGTTTTTTTTTATCCTCCCCCCCGAAATTATAAAAGATGTCAATAACTCAAAATCATTGTTTAAAGACGTGATCAACGAAATATAATCGAACTAACCGAAGACGATATAAAGTGCAGCAGCACCTACTCCAAGAAGTATCAATATAAGAACCAATAAGAAGATCAAAGATCTGTTACAACCAGATCCTTCTAATGGCCTTGCAAGATGTAAAGTCCATCCACGATGACTTTTGTGAAGTCTTGCTGGATCCGGTGGTGGTTCACCTCGGACACTTCTTCGCAAGTTAACTCGATTTTGTGAAGTAGGAGTTTGCATTCGTACTGGGAGGGAATAAGCCCTCTGAAACAAACGAAACAATGGAATAGTACAATAAATAAATAAATAAAATAAATAAATGAACGAACGAATGAATTGGATGATGATAATATATATATATATATATATAAGTACACTACTTATTTAAAAGAAAATAAATAAAAACTGCATGAAATTGTATATAAAATTCTAGAAATGTATAAACGTTGTACCCCAATAAAATACAAATCTACACATTGCACCTTGAGCTCGGCCATCGATACTGCATTCTCTCCCCTACTACAAATTCATTAACACAATATTTTAATGCGTTCGGCTTATATTTGATTCTTATTTTGAAAAAAATTGTCTTTATTGATTATAAAGATCAATGTGATATTTGCAAAAGTTGATTTTCACTTTGAACAACATCGTTTTAAACCGTAGGAAGAACGCGAGCCGATGGTTTGGAGATTGCCGTCGATGAGCCGACGCGCTTTTCAACCGCCAGACACACAGCCCACACTTCTCTGTCTGGCTATAGATAGATATTTTCCACTTCCGCTCCACTCCGTTTAGTTTAGTTTAGTTTCCCTTTCGTTTCTTTGCAAAGAAGAGTGCAAAGAAGAGAAGGAGCCAGTTCTAAAGCGGCCACATCTTCTTCGGTCAAGAATCGACCGGACGACTGTCGCGTGTTACGTTTTACAGACTGAAACCGTGCAAGCACACGGCATTGACTTTATAGGATATTACCAATACATATCTCTACATCTTATATACATTCTTATTATTTTTACTTTTAACTTCATTTCTTTACAAATTCCTTCTTTTTTATTTTTTTTTAGCCAGACTGTGTACATTTTTCTTGATTTTTCATTAAATTTTGTAGAATTTCATTCCTGCAATCGCGATGTGATTTTATTTTCCAGGTGTCCTTAATTCCCCGAGAAAATAGGTTTCAGAGTTATAGCACAATTAAATGGGCAAATAATTCATTTATCCAACGCTCGACAACTTTTCCAGAATATTTCCTATTGTGTACTCTATTAGTAAAGACTTGGCACGAGGACTACGCACGTGTGCAAAACTGATGTAACGCTATGAACCACTTTTGTGTGTTTGATGGCTAATGCACACTAAATGCAACCCTCGTAACACACGTGACGAAGAGAAGAAAGAAGCCACGAGACCCTTAAATCTCTTCGTTATTCATACTAATGCATCCTCAATAAACGTCGAACGAGAGGGAAGAAGTGGAAATAATCTTGATTAAATATAACACACATATTCTAAAAATACTACGTCAGTACTGTTCATTAATAATTCGAAAGAAGATGATTGAAAGGAATTTTATCCAAGCTTATTTTTACTCTAAACTCTAACCGTAATTTGTTATCGTTATAATAACGAGTAACAGCGATTCGATTCATAAAAGACAGTCAGTCTTTGTACGATGAATAGGAAAGAGTACAGAAGATCGCATTCAAAATATCAATTAATCCTTCGGTTCATTAATCCAGTGAGACACTGAAATAAATACGAGATTTAATTCATTGAGAAATAGAATAAATTATAATAAGTAGTGTTACTAATTTTATTGAATGATTATATTATATTCCCTTTCACTTTCTTGTAGTAATTCTATTCAATTGTAACCTGAGATGCAATATTATGCCCACCAACTGCAACCGATTCATTCTAGGAGATCAATTCGTAGGGGGGAGAAGAGAGATGTAAGAGACAATGCATATAATTCTAACCCCCGAAATAATTTTAGAGAATTAATTCTTTTCCCTATAATATACTATTTTAGCTAGATTTTGAAGGAAGGGGGAAATTTTATTTTTGAATTAATTTATCCGGGACAGCGCGAACGCAGTCCCGACTACCAAAAATTATACGCCCGAGATATCCACATTAGGGATATTCGCAAGGGTCAGCCTAACCGAAGTGCAATGGAAAAGCCTCGCCCTGGAGGAACCGCCTTCATGATCACGGTAACCTCTGCGCCAGGTAAGTATGCTTTCCTCTGTGACAAGTTCCCAGTTATACCAAACGGAATACATTTTGCTATCGAGAATAGTGCATCCACTATGCACCACACTGCGGTAAACTGTCGAACTAACTTGTATCCTACACAGAAATGGTGCATTACTTTGGACCTATTCCATATGTTCAAGAGGCTTCATTTTAATTACTATGTCATCAACTGTCTACTTTTTTTATTATTTTTATTTCTACAGTTAAATTGGCTTCATTTGAAAACTTACTCTTATCAACCTGGATCAATAATTATTCCTAAAAATACGATCATATATCTGGTGTCTCGTTTTAAATACTACGATCAAATATTTGTGATTTTATTTGATATTTTTTAAGCAAATGTTTCTAATTAATGTTAATAGCTACCGAGGTGGGAATGTATAATATTTACTGCAGGTGTTTCATACAGGGCGCTGTTGTCATGATACGGAAGTCATAACAAAATTTTTGAATGGGAAGAGAATATCAATATAAATCCAACGAGCAACTACGGTGCAATTGTTCAGCAATATTATGGTTGAAGCAATTTTTATTTGCAACATTTGTTTATAAAGACAAATAGGTTTAAAACGCGAGACACCTAATAAAAATCATATAAATGAAATAAAGATTTTAATAATATGAACTTTGAAAGAAATAAAATAAACGTGTTTTACCTGAAAAGCAATTGGTTCTTTGAGATCGGTGTAAAAAACAGGAGCTTCCTTGGCATACCAATGATCTTGGGTGTAAATCGAATTTATTCTCATACTTGGTTGACTACTCTTCGATATAATGAGTGCCTTGTCTTCGTTGGTCTCAACCACGTGGGCGAGCTTAGTCTCAACGTCGTTTCTATCGTACTGCAGGTACTCGAGTGTTCTTGATGGTAAGTGCTCCTGCTGCTGCTGCTGCTGTTCATGATGATGATGATGATGATGATGATGATGATGTTGCTGCTGCTGTAGTAGTTGTTGCTGTTGTTGAACCTTCTCGGAGATCGAAAATATCGTAATGGAAGAAGAATTTTGTCCTACAGACTCTTCAGATTCTTCTGTAGTCTTGCTCAACGAATGACAAAGCGGAAGAAACTTGTCATTCCGCTGTGAAAGAATTGTTTCCGTTTGTAGACACGAATTTGATAATTCTCTACTTATCCGATCGTTTATTATTTCTTGACTTTCAGAATTAACAAAGTTCCCTTTGTTTCTACAATGTTTGCAATCCTTTCTCCTGCGTCTTTCACTTGCTCTGATATAATCCTCTTCTTGCAGCCTCGATAACGCACAATTTGTATTCCCATTATCTGAATTATCAGAACAATTTTTATCAAACGAACGGTCTTTTCTTTCTTTGCTACTTTTCCATCTCTTTTCCCAAATGGAATAACTTGTGGAAGGATTTGACGTTGTGGATGAAAGTCCTCGACGAAACGGCAACGTTAAATTTCGTTGGAAATAAATCGACTGAGAAGAATCCGATTGGATTCCTTCAATCGTATCGTTAAGAAAATTCGAAGTTCGAAATGAACGAGCATTTTGTTCTATTCTAGAATGAGTTGATTCTTCCGAGAACCCGGAAGAAATTCTACAAAATTCTTCGCTACTTGGACCGATGTCCTCGTAAACGTGAACATCAGGATGTATTCCGGAATCAGTGTTAATGAGAGAACCATTGTTTCCATTATTGCGATATTGTTCTCCTTCGAATCCTTGATTCTCCATCTGAAATGAATAATAATCGATTAGATCACCTTTTTCTCTGATTAATCTCAACTAATTGAAATCAAATTCATTTTCGAATGAATATATTATACACAATATTTTCAATGCGGTACTCTAACAATAAGTTAAATAAGAAAAGATCGTATCAATCGATTAGATATAACTGAACGAGTTTGAAAACGTCCCGAGTTATCCGGATGATTTATTCATTAAATAATATTTTATGAAAGACACACATTCGATCAGAGTAAGAGACTGTTAGAAATTGTCTCAATATATTTCACAAGGGTAAAAGGCTTGTTGATTCCCGAGATAATTAATGATTTAGCGAGTATACGAGTTGGCCGTCGTCGGGTTTGCCAATTATTGTGTCCCCGATAAACGATTAGTTTTTCTTCTCTCTTTGCTAACTCCCATTCGAAATACCAATGTTCGCGTTCATCGAATGTGTGTGGGTATTGAAAAAGTCTGACTGTCCCACGATGATCTTTATCGTCGCTAAATGGATTAATATTGCATCAGGATGCATATCTGCAATTTTCAATCCATCCAATTAGAATGAAATTCATTAACTTCATCTTTCAAATGATATCGATTATATCCCGATCAAGGTAAAATTAATGACAATAGTAATACATTTCAGTTTGCATTATACAAAAGAGAAAAAGAAATAGTTCAAACAAGAAGAAGAAGAAGAAGAAAAATAAGTCCACGGATCGACTAAAAGCAAACGAGCCTGTTACTAATTTATAAGCGCGATTACTGCAATTATCGCGACTTGACTCTTCGATTGATCCCAACCAAGCATCTGACGTCATCGGTCCCCATAGATCATTTACAATCTTAGCCCTCAACCATGACTAAAATATCCTTCATAACGAAAACAAATTTTCTGTCAATTGTCCAAATATTTATGGACACGATGGCAGACATTTGTTATGCATATTTTTTTTACAATTACACGATACAATAAAAGATTACCAACCACCATGTTCATTAATTTCAATTAGAAATTGATATAACGAAGATTTATAAATTCAATTAATTGAATATATTCATACAAGGTATAAAAACCTAACAGCATTCTTACAAAGGTATTTTTGGATGACGCATTGCACATTGGTAATAGTATTGCGTACTCAACTAGCATTTCAATGTGGTTAACCAAGAACTTGTATGCTGCATACTATCACAAAGTATTAACTATGTTTTAGTCATTGAATAAACCCTCCGTACCTTCCTTTTTTTCTTAACATCTCCTGTTACTGCAACGGATTGCAATTAAAGATCTTCCGTTTGACTAAAGTAAGAAAAATGTTAGATGTTTTAACTAACACAGAGGGGGAGGAGAAAAAAAAGGAATTCGATTCCTCAACGGAAGATACCAAACGGAATGTGAGAAGTCTTAGCCGTAGGCGCCAATAAGTTAACTGAACCGACTAATAGCTAATTTGTCCTCATACTTCTATGGTTGCCTTCTCTCCTTACGCTTAAAATAAACTATACCTAAGTGTCTTCGTCACTCGTGTACAATGAACGCACGTGTCTTATGAATAATATAAAAAAAAAAAAATAACAAAATGATTTTATTATAAGTCAAATAAAATCCTAAATCATTATTTCAATTGAAGTTAATAAAAATGTAAAAGAAAGAAGAAATTAGTAGCCGTATAATTAGATTTAATGATTAATCTCAATCAAGAATAAACTCTGTCAATCTAAAACATTCTAAGGATAGTAATTAATTGATACGATAATCTCGTTATAAGTATATTAACGCATAGTGTCATAACAGGAACTTAATGTTAAACGAGAACTAACATAATATCTATCAGATTGATTTAATAAAGAAACCAAAAAAGAAAAAACGAGAAGTATCGTTCGAAAGAGAATAACAATAGTTTATTATTTAACAATAGGAATTCGTTTCGGTCCAACGTTTTCTATAATTGGTCAGTTGGTGATTAATTAAGGAACTATTTCGTGTATGCCAGTTTTCAATGAGAAACAGAACGATGTTATATTCGATGCATAGACTCGGCCACACGTGCGTTAAGTGTACTTTACGTACTTACTTACTTACATATATATATATAGATGAATATACATAGAACCCTTGCTTTGCAAAGGCACATTGAACACACGATAAAGTCTAGAGGCTAACCCTATCCGATCGTTCCTCCCCTTGCACATTACTTTCCAGTACGTATGAGCAAACCCGGTTGTTATTCCGCAGCACGTGTCCTACCATATGCCGTTGCATCATCACTCCGTAAAAAGAAAGTTTTACAGGTACTTGACATAACTAAAATGCAACCCATCGAAACGAAACAAAAAACTTTTAAATAAAAAATAAACGTCAAACAATAAGAATTCTATGCAAAGAGGAATCACTAACATTTCCCTTATACTGCACCATCGTTCTGTGTGTGAGTAATATACGTTGTAAAAATAATTAATATTATTAAGAAAAAAAAATCGAGAATAACGCATATCAATGTTATAAGAAATTTGTTTGATATTTGAAAAGAAAAAAAAAATTGGAGATGCCGGGGATCGAACCCGGGGCCTTTCACATGCAAAGCGAACGCTCTACCACTGAGCTACATCCCCTGACGATATGTTCTCTAACTATTTCAAATTTGTACCGCAGAACTTTTTCTACACTTTTTTTTAAATAATCATTACAAAATAAGATTCTAATATAAACCAAACAAAACTAACAATCTGATAACAATAAATAATTGATTCAAACGAAATAATCGATCCAATGTGAATAAATACAACGTCGACAATTTACGTTAACATATATTGTATTTATAAAACAATATATATCTGACTAAAGCAATACCTAAAATATATAGATATTATTATTTTTGATGAATATATATATACCAAAAAATGATGAACCCTAGCTAGGGTTGAGACAACAAAGGGTTACTTACGAACAAAAGAAGATAAAGCTTGAAAATTTCTTCCGATTCAACATTCGCCTTATTATAACGCTAATAAGTGCAGTATATTGCGTCGATTATCTACTAAGTATAGGGTCCACAAGCGAAGGGCTATCGCCATCAACCATTGAACGATGACTACACGTCACTGGCATGCACACAACCGTAAGTCATTCGGTCGGTTATAATAACCGAGCGTTCTTCTACGGATATCTTTCAAATAACCCTTCTCTCTTATATCTCTTTTATACTCTCTTATATGAATATACCTACAAAATAAAGTAAATAAATCATTAAATTTCGTATAACATTCTTTTACAGAATGCGGTACACCCTTTTCAAACGTACGGCAAGATAAAAAAGAAAATAAAAAGATAAAAACTGTTTGTCCTCGTGGTAGTTTCACGGTTGAAACATTGATAATGGGTATATTTTTTTTTCTTTTTTCTGCATCGTACAAAATTTTTATTATACTTTTTAAAGGATGGGCTTATATATATACACAAGTTTACATTCGAGTAATAACAGGATCATTGTAAAGTCGTTCCCGACCAGTCGAACATATTATCTTAAATAGCATCTTACTTTCTTCTCCTAACGTTCCTATACCACTACTCATAAATATACTCCCTAGTTGTTTATCTTTTATTATATTTAACTTCATTTATATATATATTTATAATCGAATAGGAAGAAAAATATGTTATAAATAATAATAGATTTTTCTATCGGAAAATATATTAAAACCAGCATTAAATACACGTTCAATGTGAACCCATCAATAGTCTCTATTCGATTAACTTATATACGATCGATAGTATTAAAATGCATTTTAAATTTAAATCAATGTCTAATACAAAATTATAATTAAACAAAAATTGAATATTCAATATAATACTCAGCATAACGTATAATCGTCGAAATGATATACTTAATATAAAACAAAATTGAGCTGATCGTATCGTTGCTTGGTCTCATAGAATTGCTGCATTCACAAAGGGTTAATTATTTCTTTTATTTAATATGTCCGACAAAAAAAGAAAAAGATATGCTAATTCTATAGAAATGTATCTCGGGATGTAGTCCATTATCAAAAAAAAAATAAAAGGGAAGAAAAAGAAGAAGAAGAAGAAGAAGAAAAAGAAAAAAGAATAAAGAATAAAGAATAAAGAATAAAGATAAAGAAAGTTTCGACAAATGTAGAAGAAAAATTCTTATGGTAATAACCAATATGTTTGACGAGAGAGTTATACCGTGCGACGTTCCAGTCGCGGTTGACGAAACACAAAAGAACTAACAAACGAGTGGGCCAGCTGACATTGTGAGAAGAGAGAGAAAAAGAAAGAAAAAATGAATAAAAGAGAGAGAGAGAGACAGAGAGAGAAAAGCCCGAGTTGCGTTCTGCTCGGACGCACTTTGAAACCGGAGGGTTACTCCCGCTTTTATTTTACACCTGGCAGCAATGTGTCTACCTTACTGTCCGCGACACCCACGCGATCCTATAAATGAAAATATGGTCATAAAAAAGAAATTCCCATTTCTTGTTTTACGAATTTAAACATATTTATGTGATAATTCGATGCTAATATGAAAACAAAACTGTACAAACCTGATACGCGCGTTGTTATTAGATTAAAATAATAAAAGTTCATTAATTGAATCAATGTTATCATGATTTGTTGATAATTATATTATACTTTTGTAATCATCTTTTATAGGATTAATGTTAAATGTTTGTTAGTGTTTTACTTTATTTTCTCTCTCTTTCTCTCTATCTCTCTTTTTTCTATTTAGAGTTAATGGTTCGATCGAGTTAAATGGTTTCTCATGATCCAATGAGTTACCTAATTTGATTAAAGTCTTGGATCAAGGATAACGCAATTTCGCTGGAACAGTGGAATATATTGTAAAAACATTTTGGAATAAATCTACCGTATTATTTTTTTGTTGTTGCATATCTAAATTAATCGTTTTTAAGTGGCTATTTTATTTGTTACCAAAGGAAGTTTACTTCATTGTCGATTACATGTTGTACTAAAAACACAATCATAAAAGACTATTATCTTACGGATGTACGCTGACGAATTAATGGAAAACAGCGATGAGGAAGAAATCTTCTAGGAATATATAAACGTATAAACATACACGTGTTCGTTGATAATAAAGTATGTAAGAAAAAAAAAAATAAGGAAAATACTAGTTTGTATAAAGAAAAAAATAAACGGAAATGAGAGAAAGGGAAAAAGATAGACAGCTTGAGCTAAAGCCGCAGAACGAGCAGAGTATTATCGATAGAATGAAATAAAACGGGTCATATGCGAGTTTGTTTCTATATACTCTATGACAACTAAAGCACTATACTCTAATATGTCGATAAATATTTTTTTCATACTATCATACACCTTGAAAAGAAAAAAAAAACTAATGTAGATTAAAAGCTCTGATCTAAATCTTCAATTTCGCTTATAAAGATTTAGTTATTAAAAAAAAACAAAAATTACGCCATTATAAATATGTATAAAAATTATTAAATTTTTTTAACATTAATTAATCATATTATTATTATTTAAATAACATAACTAAAAAGTCACGTATTTTCTTTTGTAATTTAATTAATTATATATAAAACATATATAACAGTATATTTTATAAACCTTTGCTATAACAAATCATTATTACTTAAATAATATGAGTAATAAATATTTTTAAAAAGTAAAATTAAAAATGATCAATGATCATTATTAACTATATATATATTCCCTTTAACAATACAATAGAAAAATATTTAAATTCAACCAACCTTTGTATTAATTTTTATAAAACTCTCATCTTTTTCGAAATTGATACCATCTTCTTGTTGCACCAAAGAAAATCATGACATTATTAGAATTCAATGCTTCTTCTTGGTAAGTCCGTAAAGAAATCCAATGATCGTTCACGTTAAATATCTTCATATCATTTCATTAGTATTCACACGAAATACTTTAGATTTCGTAAGCGCGCCCTTTTTTCGTACCGTGACACATGTCCTTGTTTTTTCTCTCTCTCTCTTTCTTTCTTTCTTTCTCTCACTCTTTATCTCTTTCTCACGTGCAACTCGACACACGTATTATACAACATAACTTACTTACTTACTTTAAGTTTACTCACGCACTCACGCCGCGTTACTGCAAGCTGCGCGAACGATTACGATGTCTGACGACTTCGCCGAAGTCTATCCGTCCCGTAACAGAGCACAGCAACCAATCAAATACGCTCAATCCAATGACGAAGACAGCGTGGGAGATCCAATTACTAAGCAACTGACCAATCAGCGTGTCTAGCGCACCGCGCTAATTTTAAATACATTCGCGTCCTTTTTTTTGTTTCTTTTTTTGAATACTTAATGATCTTTCCAAATATACGTTGAGAGAACGATAATGTATTGTTTTGTCAATTGTTTTAACTAATTTCTGCTCGTGTAACATTATATCTGAAATAAATAATATTGTTATTGTATTTTTAAGGATATTTAATTTATTGTTTAATTTTTTTTAAATTAATTAACAAGCTTCATTGTTTTATTTAAATAGTAAAGTGTTTGTAGAAGTAAAATATCGTATACATTAATTACTGGAATATATTCCGCAATTATACAATATGTATATATATATCTGTAATGAAAAGGATAGTGATATATATACATATATACATATATATATACAGTGTACAGGAATACATTGAAACGCGACGGCGTGCAGTATGTGTGTTAGAATTATGGTGCAAGCTGCAGGCCGCGTGTTTGGTGTGGTTGTGCCGAGCGTACTCCTGACACTACTGTTCGTTGATCAAGTAAGAACAGCGCAGTGTTCCATAATGATGCAGCCAAAACATATAACTCTGTTACATGATATAGATTTGTAGGAACTTAGTGCATATCCTCTCTCACCCACGACGTCTCCTCTCGTTATCGTATTCCCTTCGACTTGACGTCGATCAATACGTCGGTTTCACGCACAGTTCTGCTAGACAATGAACTCTTACTCGATGTACTTTTCATTCATACGTAAGTTATCTTTATTACGTTCTAAACGAACGATACCTTCCTTCATTGTCTTCATTCTCTCTTCATTCTATCTTCGCTTGATTCATATAAAAGGAACATCTAAAGAGTTTAAATACCAAAACTCTCGAGATTGTTTATTGCTTCAAATCTTCATCGCAACGAACGGGGCTGAACGTAACGATCAAATTCATTTGCTGTTAACGTGTTTTATATCGATTTAATAATATTCTCTGTTAGATTATTAGATTGTAGTAATGAATCAGATTATAATTTATTTTTATATTTAAATCCAAGAAATATTCTCTTTTAGAAAAATCAATAATTTCTTTATTTTATCTTTCAAGGCCTCTTCTAAACTATGCGATGGGGGGCATGTGTAAGTTATAATGTGAAATATAATATGTTTGCATGATTGATTTAAATATCTAAAATTTCGTAAAAAATAATATATTATTTTTTTAGTTGCTCTCCTCCCAAATATTGCTGCTCTTTCGGCTGTTGTTACGGAGTATTTCCGCAAGTGCACTCTCATTTGTCAGGAATGATTAATTTCCTGATTTGGACTTATTGGTACTTATGGTTAGTAATAAATATTCTTACCTTATATCTTGAAAAATGTAGACAAATTCACTTTTCAATATTATTTCCATATTGTCTCCTTCAGGGCAGCAGTACTTTCAGGTTTAGCTGTAGCAGCTATTTTTGGCTGCTGGCTATGGAAACGACGACGCTCTGCTATTATAGAAGACTGTGGTTCTTCTGACAGAGCGTCTACAGGTCCTTGGTTTCCACCACCGCATTATAGTCGTTGCAGTTCTTTTGTGCAAGCGTTACCACCTCCTTACAATGAAGTATGTTAATGTTTTGTTTTTCTTAAGATATAATTATTTCTTTAATATCATTAGATTACCAATATTTTTTAATCATCGCTTAGGTTACCGCAAAGCCAGATTTGTATCCACTAGTTATCGGTTATGATGAGAGTAATGGAAAGGGAACATCAGGATTTGTAATGCGGTATTTTAGATCGTTATCCCATGCGAGCACATTGGATTCCTTGAGTTCAAGTTTTATGTGCAATGTTGTGAATGAAGCTAACACCATTATTCCACCACCGTACTCCTGTAACAATAGTGCAGATGAATTGTCAGCGGTTGAATGTGGAAGAGAAGAAAATGGAGATGTTGTATCAGTTGTTTCGTTGGCTAATCATAGAACAACATCAGACATATCGAGTTTAGCAGCTCAATCACCATGTTCACCGCCAAGGGCTACCAGTCCTACAATAGAGGTAATTATAATTGAATATTTGTTATAAGTTAAACTTATTACTATGAATAAAATTGTATATTGAATTGTTGCAGCTACGTGAGTTGCTAGACAAAATTCAACAACTACCACAATTACCTAGCGGCCATAGCACACTTTTGCCTTCTCAAAACCAGCCTCAACTTCTTCATACAAATGTAAATGGTACTGTACAACAACGGCCTTTAAGTCCAAACGATGTTGGATCATATAGAACAAGAAGAATGCGTGGAAAAATGTATATGCCATTAGGACTGCCAAATACAAGAAATAAAACTAAGCGGTGGCTATCACGATCAGCGCCTACAACACCATCCGGTACAATACCAATGTCCTTTTTACCAGGACAAAGCAGACGGCCATCTGAAACGGATAATAACAATCAACAAGTAGTTCCTTTGCTATCGGAGCAGGATGAAACAGAAAATAATAATGGCGAACAATTAACCAGTGGTATTCCACTACTTTCTGAACAAGAAGAGAACCGTCAAGCTACATGACGATATTTTTGATTAATCTGAAACAAAAAAAATAAAAGAAAGAAAGAAAGAAAAAAGATATTCATAATTAACGTTCAATCATCCACGCCCCAAAAACATTTAATTACATATTTTTCGATGTGGCTGGAATGAAGAAAAAAAAAAGATAAGAAAAGAAAAAGAAAAAGGAATAATAAAATAAGGTTGTTACATAATGTTATGCAGGAAATTATTTTAGTACTCGTAACATTAATCTATTATAGGCTTCATTAACAGGATATTATCTCTTTACATCATACCAGAGCAAATAATAGTAATGCAATTTTATCATTGCCGACAGATGTATTTAAAGAAATTCTCTTTGTTTTCTCAACAAACCGCTCCTCATATAGCAAAGTTATACGATTTCAGAACTATGCAATCTAATGTATATGTCTCATAATGGGTAGATTTTTGAAATAGTCAATATATTTACTAAGTAAAAAACGTTTTTTTGCCAATATACAATCGATACATCGAAACTTGTTTTTTAATAAGGGAAAAAAAAAAGAAAAAACAAGGAAGTTAAGATATAAGATAAAAATTTGTTTCCAGGCTTAAAATTCCTTGGCGATGCTTGTAATATTGTTTAGTTGTAGCAATACAATAATAATGTCCATCCATGCAGCCAGCCAGAGAAAATAATTAATGATTCAGGACAATATAATAATTAAGGTTGAAGAACTAGCAGGTAGAAGAAGAAGAAAAAGAAGAAAGCAATGAATAATTATCATATTCAAAAAGTCAACGTACAATGTTAATTCCGTCAGCGATAGAGAGTGAGATTACTCTTAATACTATCAGCGACTACTAGCAAGCACAAGGTCATATAATGTACAGATTGTACACTTTTATTTAAAATAATGTCTAATGTATGCAAAGAAAGAAAGGAAGGAAGAAAGAAAGAACGAAAGAAAGAACGAAAGAAAGAAAGAAAAAGAAAAAAAAGAAACCAGAGTGATTGATAAAACACTGAAGAGTAGAAAAGTGTTTTTTCCATATTGTGCCATGTGCAAATTGAAAATGTTATCATAGATTGTAATGAACATTCGTTAAAAAGCAATTATTATAAAGTACTCAGATCTATCCCAACAACAAAAACAACAATACACACTTTTATCATATTGCATCATTCACATACACATCATGTATTAACATGTATTTTTTTATAATGTCAAATATGAATAAATCCAAGCTTTTATGAAATTGTTTTCATTATATTAAATATACACTAATTCATATAGATATTATATTGATAGCATAAGCAACAATCATTTGAAAATAAATTCAATGATCTCTCTCACACAATGTTCTTAGAAAAAAATAAAATATTTTATTTAAATATTGGAGGTAAGAATTAAATTAAATACTTAAACTTTTAAACGATGCATTATTTTATCTAAAACAATTCATTACCTTGAAATGCAGACGATATTTATTTAATTATCAATAATTAAAATAATATAATAAAATTAGCTGCCCTTACGATTTGTTACCGCCATGAAACGAATTCTAAAATAATATTTGAAATTTCAATGCAATTAATCGAAAGTTCGATAGATTTCTATTTCGATAATCGAATTTGCGATTAACCAATCAGAGAGCTTTTAGTATATCGCTGTCACTCGGTTGATTCTAGGCGGTAAAGAATTAATTTCTACGTTTTAACGTGTGTGTTATAATTTATCGCAAAAATGTCGAGTGTAAGTACTTAATAATATATAATTATTAATAAATTTATATGATAGAATTATCTTTATTTGTAATGTATTTTTACTATCTTTCTTTAGACTACTAAACAAGTAAAATAATAAGATAACATAACCTTCTATTATCTGATATTTTCAATATATATTTTTTGTTTGATTTTTAGCAACAAAACGCTCATGGGGATCATAAGGAAAAGAAAAGGAAAGAAAGTATTCTTGATCTGTCAAAATATTTAGAAAAGAATATCAGAGTCAAATTTGCCGGGGGTAGAGAAGCTGCAGGTATTTTAAAAGGTTATGATCCACTTTTGAATTTAGTACTTGATAATACTACTGAATATCTTAGGGGTGAGTACAATATTATTAATTATTCAATTATGCTCAATATTTCTTCTTAATTTAATTAATACTTTTAATGAGTTAGGAAATAATATATTTGTTAATTCATTTAACAGATCCTGATGATCCTTACAAATTAAACCAAGATACACGTATGTTGGGATTAACAGTCTGCAGAGGAACTTCAGTCGTACTTATTTGTCCTGTCGATGGCATGGAATCAATACAAAATCCATTTATACAACAGGAAGGTTGAAAGATTAGTTAATAATAATTTAAATATAAATCAATTTATATAATTTCCTAAAGATATATTCTACTATTGAAACTACAATTACATTTAATATAGATTTGGTAAGAAAAGAAATATTCTTTGTTTCTTCTTTTATTGTCTACATAAAATTATTTTATGCAAAAAATATAAAAATAATAACAATTCTTATTAGAGTATATCATTCGTAGTTTCCCTTTTAAATAAATAACAGTCTTATGTTTATATTATATCTAGTTTAGCAAAATTATATTAAACGAAAACTTTCCAAAATATGTCAAACGATACGATATGTATTATTATATACAGGATGTCTGAGATTTTTTCTAACAATCGATGTCATAACTTTTGAATGAAGCCTATGAATTAACTTTTTCAATGGTCTATGATTATATAACATTTTTTTTTTTATTTTCGTACGCTAACACCGTTTGCCTGGAAAAACCTCAAATATCCTGTATACTCGAATACGTTTAATCTTGTCCAAATTCATTTCTTAACCATGGATATTCTTTTGGACATTCAAAACATGTATATAAATCTCTGTAAGACTTCAATATTTTACTAGGAAGGGAACAAGTCGTAGGTACATCGCATGCAATTTCAAATTTTTCAAATTGACGCTCATTGCATTGCCATGACTCAAATTTATGAAGTTGATCTAGAGGTGTCGGGGAACGCATCCATTTTATAACTTGGTGACTCGTTACGAAATACACATCGGGTAGTCGAAGTACATCTTCCAAAAATTTCTAAATATGTATATAATAATATTGATAAGGATATATTGTAATTAACATTTGAAAACATGCTATTAAACTTAAGAAATATCTTACATTAAATGCATGATAATATGTTGAAGTTTGGAACCACGACGTATGAAAATGAAGACCCATAGGAGCACGATTGCTATGATAATGTCTCTTGAAATTAAACATTAACATTTCGTAAACTTCATTAAGTGATAAATTAGATGGACAGGAATTCATGGTTGCGCAAGTGTATTCCTAAAGCAATGTGTATAAATATAAATTTGGAATTAGCGAAAGTTAAACATTTTTCTATTTATGAAGATTACTTACACCTGCTACAAATTGGTTTAATGGAAGTTCCCATATACCAGGATAAACACGCGTGGGACAAAACTGATCCGATTGTACGCACGCGTGCGATATTTTGTAATCGAGAGTATAAGGCCATAATGGCGTATCTAAAAATGGAACAATTATGGATGAATCGTATACGAATCCGAATTCCAACATCATTAAAAATTGACGGTTCCATCCCACTTGTAAAAAAGGTGCTCGTAATCCTGAAATAAATTCCAAATATGTCAATGGGAATTTAACTTTCACTTTCTATGTATAGAAATACATAGAAAATATATGAGGACAGACCTTTAATATCCTCTATCCTTACAGCAGCATATTTGTTAATAATATTTGCTACTCCAACCATTTCATCAAACCAATCTTCGACTGTTGCATTTCGTGACCACCATTCTTCTGGTCCACGATGACTAAAAAATATCAAATCTAATAACAAAATCTAAAAAATATTATTTTTCTAAAACAACCCCTACGTACGTAATGGAATGTACTGCAATTTCATGACCTTTATTCCACAAATATTGTACATCTCTGTAATTAGTAAATTGATGACTAACATAAAATGTTCCACGAATGGAACAACCATTTGGATTCCTTTTATCGTTCGAAAATATCTCTGGGGAACGATTAATTATAAATAAGTTATTAATATTAAAACATAATTATATATATAAACGTGTAATCAAACTTACTTGCAAAGAGATCAAAATTCTCAGCATTGATAGCATCACTGAAAGTAATTGTAATCATTTGTGGAATAACGGAAGTTGATAAATTTCCTGGCACGCGTGTACCATCTTTTGAGCACCAACAATCTGGTAATTGACATTTGGTTTCATTACATGCAGGAGCAGCTCTTGGATCATTTCGCATATCTGTTTAAAATCAATATAATGAATGTTATGCAATTTTTATTTATTTATAATCATAATTATTTGAACTCACCGCACCAACTTTCGTCAGATCCATCAGGACAATCGATACTTCCGTCACAAAAGTACAAAGCCGGAATACACGTCCCATCACCGCAAGCTAAACTTTTCTCATCGCATTTGCCATTTTCTAGCAAAGGTTTTGGCGATTGCGGCTCTGTAATATACTTTTTAAATATCAATAAATATATTCGATAAAAATTTTTACATTAAAATTATACAATATTATTTAAAAAATAAAATTAAAAAATGAATCGAATACACACAGTGATATGCAGCAAACGATTAACTTTCTCGTAAACGGGATTATAAATATCGTTGATTAATAGTCCATAACGATAAACGATCAAGAACACGATTTAAATAGAAAGTGTACTAATGGAATATGTTAATATTTTCTAAATAATTAAAATGTATAATTAAAATTACCTATTGTTACATCGCAATTATCAACGTTCACTTTGTAATCGCATATTTGTCTCGTCACATCAAAAAGTAATCCCTGAGAGCATTTGAATTCGAACACTTCGTTGTCTGCAAATAAATTTAATTAAAAATCAATATATAAACAATTGTTAATTATAGAATATATATAAAGAAAAAAAAAAAAAGAAAAATTCTATTCAATGAAATTACCTAAACACAAATAATATTTCGCACATTCGGAGGGAGACCAAACGTTGTAAGCAGGTGTGTTAGGATTTCGATAAAACTTGTTGTCATCGATGCAAGGTGCATTTCTTATTTTTTCCGTTGCCTTTACCGCGATAGCTGAAAAATAAAATAAAATATATTTATATATATATAATATATATCACAAGTCAGAGAAATTCGCAACAAATGTAACTAACTTTCACTTAATGTATAAAAACATAAATAACATTTTCCTTCATTAGATTTCGAAAATTCGCTTAACATTAAAACTACGATCCTTAAACCGAACATTGTACATAATTAAAACTACAAAAATTAATAACAAACTTGTTTAAATTTAATTGATCGTTCTGATTGATATTTTAGTAGTTGTAATGTTAAAAGAATACGCAACTTTGATCTCTGTTTATTGAATTGATCACTCCGGTAGTGGGTTAACGTGTCAATGGACTTTTGCCCGCGGCAAGGAACGCACCAAGCATCGTAGATCTGTCTTCGATCGTCAATTTTAGATCGTAGAAGAACTACCTTTAGATTTATAGTTACCACTGTTCTAATTAGTTTTATTTTATTATCTTAATAGATCTCTTCTTCCATGGCAAGAATCTATGCGGAAATCACTTTCCAAATGATGCAATTCATTCTCTTTATATGTTAATTATTACACAAATTGTTAGTTATTGTATCATAGTATATAAGAAATCGTTTATATGATCAAATCAATTCGAATAAATATCGAAAGATGATCGGTAGATATAAAAATCGGATTAATTAGATCGATTAAAAAAGTGGTTCCTCTTCTTCTTTTTTCTTTTTTTTAATCGGTCAATGACACGACACCAATACGAAAGTATATGTGTGTATTTAACTCACCGGAAAAGCAAAGGAGACTAACGATCAACGAATGAAACCACGATCTCATGCCGATCATCACTCGACTTACAACGATCTTCCTACGAGAGCTCGCACTTTCGAACTAACACCTCTCACTACGGTGATGCCTTATATGACGATTATTCTGTGCCTTACTCTCTTGCTTACACTGAAATAATATTCCTTTTTTATATGTGTTATATTTTTTTTTTATATATATATTTTTATATCGTGACAACAACAAAAGGTTCTCGCCTGTTTATGAATTTTAGATCGCTATTGAAAAATTCGTAACGATTTTAAAAATATATTTCTTTTATTAAATATATTCGAGTATATTTTAATTTTTTAATTTTCTTTGTTTTTTTTTTCTTTTCTTTTAAATCAGCGAGAACCTATAATACAAAATTGTGAAATAAATTTAAATCGATACAGGAATTTATATTATGTAATATTAAATATAGTTTTCTATTGACATTTGTATTTTTTTTTTTCTCGTAAGATTGATTGAATGATCAAATATATTACAAGACAGAAATAATGACATAATGATGAATTTTGATTAATGTTATTGGCTTAGGATAGTTCCTTTAATTAAGTCAGATAAACATAAAGTAAAACGCATTGGTAAATATTATGAAAGCTTTTTGAATTTTCCTATTTTCTATTTCTATTTAAACGCCGGAAATCTCTGTATCTGTTCTAAGAGCCAACTGAAGATGATGCAACCACGCAAAATTGGTATTTTACAATAAACGTTTTCATCATCGCTTACACCTGACTCTTTTGTTTATCGTTTTTGAATAATACAGAGAATGAATAGATTAAATATCAAGCTCCCGAAGATAAATTTAGCGTCAATAATAATATCTAATAAATAGTTCAATGAAAATAAATGAAATTCCAAACGATTCGAGGGTAGAATAAAAATGAACGAGAGATCTATCGTGACCCACAAAATAAAAATGAAAATCTGAGAAATTAGTTGTATGTAAGTTAAAGAAGAAGAAGAAGAAAAAAAATATATAGTTTATGTGTTATATAAAAAGAAATCTGGGTAAATCGGCAAAGAAGACAAAGTTAAACTACGCGACTGTTGTTTCGAATGCGAGAGCTCCTATCTGTTGAAATTAGAAACAATCAGAAATGAGCTAGACGTGATATTTATTATTTTAAGTTTGCCTCGTGACACCAAATTTTAAATTGCCAAAATATTAAATCGAGTCGTAGAAGAATTTATAACAAATCAATTGTAATTTAACGATCAAACCTTTAGGATATATCTAGGAATAATATACAAAGAATAGTAGTATAATTTCAGTGACAACAGTATCGTTACCACCTGGTTGACTTTTCTGTCATTCCCCACTTGATCTCGTAACAAGTGTAACACCAAAACCACCACCACCACCACAACCATCAACCACCACCACCGCTAATAATGTTCTTCCCTCGAGAAGAAGAGAAATCTAAAGTTAGAATCAACAGTGCCAGACAGTCGACTCGAGTTCAGTGCAAAGAGCACCATCCTCTCTTTTCTCGAGACCGACTTTCTCCGTTGAAGAATTTTCTGTTTTTCTTCTACGTACTTCCACACTTTTTCTGTCTTTTAAGTGAAGACACAAGTGGTCATCGTGAAGGATTTCTTCTAAGAAGAACAGAGTTACTTGAAACCGAAGACAACCGAAGACAATAAATTAAGGAAGAGGAAGAAGAATTTTCAAAATATTAGAAAACCCTTCTTCTTCCCTCCACTTCAAAATTAAAAACAAAAAAATAAAAGGGAAGCAGAAAACATTTGTTAACAAATAGAAGAAGAAGTGTTTGGAAAGAGTAATTCAGTATTTGAGTACTCATACGCGTAATCCTCTCGGATTAAACAATTTTTTTTTTTTTTAATAAGGAGAAGGATGGCTTACAGCTGGGACAATCGCGTTAGTTTTATTGTGAAATTTCTGTATGGTTAGTACACGCCGCTGTTGCCCTTTTCGGAGAGCAGGAGCATGCGTGTGAACAAAGAACCAAAATTTCAGATTATAGTATTTGTGCTTGTAACCACGTGGATATCACGTATAGTCAGCTTTTGCAAGTTTTCTAAATTTTTCATTATTTCTAATTTTTATATATATATATATAGAATTTGTTGCTTAATTTATATAAAATCATTCACCATATGATATAATTTGTTAACTTGCGTTCTTTAAATTATGTTAAACTAACATTTAAATTTCTATTGTATATGATACACACAAAAAAACAACCTGGTGTGGTTTTCTATATCATTTGCATATAATAACAATAAAATAATATATTTATATTTATTATTTAATAAAATTCGGGTATTGTACTTTTTATTTTGTATTATACTAACATCGTTAAATAATAATATTTCCTATCAAATTTGAAAGCTGCTATCTTTGACATTTTTGTGATCGTATTTTAATGTATAAAATTAAAAAAAGAAAAAGAAAAGAAAAGAAATGAAATGAAATGAAACGAAAGTGTACCAAGGCGTCGTATCAATGTCCGCATTTCGTTCATGCCAAATCTAAATCGGTGCTTAACTTTATTTTATGACATAATCGTGAAACCTAGTCCTCGTTATCTTAGTTGAACATGTTCTATTTTTTGTTTGTTTATGAAAGATTAACTTGCAAACGAGATATATTATAGTCGAATAAGTTTCCTTTATTTTTTTAATTTTTCGAATGATTTATTTGTCGGCATCAATTTTCGTCATTTTTATAGATCTATAAATGATCCATAGTTGTAAAAATCAAAAACACGCGACGTCTTGTTACGACTTTAGCTTTGCCAAAATGTACAAATTTTGACTAATTGCCAATGAAATTGGCAAAAATGTTTCTGTTCAAAGAATTGGCACGATTTGATTGATTTTTTGACTAACATGTGTGCTGGCATATGTATAATATTAATTATTAAAATATTTCATACATATTTTAATTTAACTTTGACAAATTTTTACATTGAAATAATACAGTATTCGATGTTTAATCGATTATAAATAACAACGAACAATTCTATTGTTTAGATATCGATAATAATGGAATACTTGAAAAACACGATTTTGAGTGTATAGCATTGAAAATGACTCTGATCGAAGGAAAAGGAGAATTTAATTACAACAGATATCAAGAAAATCTTCACGTAATGCTCTCACTTTGGGAAGAAATTGCAGAATTAGCTGATTTCAACAAGGTAAGAAAAAACACCGATATGTTTTTCTTTTTTTTTAAATTACACAGTTTTGTTTCGTGTTAGATGAAAAATACATTTGTTATGGTTTAATGAAAAAATAAAAAAAGGGGAGGAATTATAGAAAAAATATATATATATATATAGTTGGGTTGAAAAGTTTTGAGCCTAACACACTAAAAAGGTAAAATAATACGAACGAACGTCCCATATAGGAGTTGTTAGCAACGAACCCCATATAAGAGGTCGCAGAAACGAACGATCGACCCATATAAGGGTTGTAGGAACGAACGACCCATATAAGGGGGTCGTATACAATACGATTATAACATATTTTCGTTTGTAATATTTTAATTCTTTTTTTGTTTTAGGACGATATAGTAACAATCGAAGAATTTAAAGAAGCTGTACAAAGGAGTTGCGTTGGTAGAGATTACAGAGATTTTCCACAAGCTATGAAAATGTTTATAGACAGTCATTTCAAGATAGTTGATTTAAATGGTACGGTTTATCTATGTTAACTCGACGTCAAATATATCCTATCTATTTTTAAGACATAACATATTTGTGAAAGTTTAAAACGATGTTATATATTTCTTTCAGACGATGGTGTCATTGCTGCCGACGAATTTCGTTACAATTGCGTTACGAGAATAGCCGTGGACAACGTTGACATTCTCGACGAGGCGTATCAAAATCTTCTCAACGTGAGTTTTTATTCCCTATAATATATTTTGTCAAATAATTATAAATAAAATTAATATTAATGTTTTTCAATAATATAAAAACACAAAAAATCACAAAACGTGTTATTGATACAGGACGACGATAGAAGACGCGGTGGTTTAACTTTGTCACGATATCAAGAATTATACGCACAATTTTTGGGTAATCCTGACGAAAATTGTCCTGCTGTTCATCTATTTGGTCCTTTACACGAATTATGTTAACAAATTCTTGTTGAAGAAGTTTAAAATGAATTATTTTTTCCTCTCTCTCTCTCTCTCTCTTCGTTTATAAAAGACAAACTGATGTACAAGGTATTTAATAATTTTAATTTTTATTTTATTCGTTGCTTTTTATCACTTTAAGAAATAATTTTAAGTATATATATGTATATGTTATATCTATTTAAAAAAAGAAAGTGTATACGTTTGAATTAAGGTGTTAAGAGAAAAAAAAGAAAAAACAAGAAAAGAAATAGAAATAATTACAACATCTCTGATACAAAAACAGGAGAGAATTTATTCTTTTAAAACAGGCGTGTCAACAAGAGACAATTCTCTCTCCGTTTATTAGCTTTGGTACCCTTAACACGCTGTTCATTACGACGGATTTTTTGTTTCCATTTGATGCCCTATCCACCTTTTTTATTTATTTATTTTTTTTTTATTAATTTCACGTTATGTATTTGCAGTAATTGTTGATCTCAAAACCATTAATGATATGCAGTCTGTTTAAAAAGGATATATACATTGTTTTAAGCGAATCCAAATACTATTACTTGTATTTTTTTCGTTTTTCTTTTTCCTCTTCTAATTTTTCTTCTCGTAGATTATCAGCCGACAAACATTTATAATTGGATTTGCAATAATATCTTTCTCGCACATCGATTGTTGTTTAAATACTTTACATAGAATATTGAAATTTACGCATCTAGCAAGATAGTCAACAAGATTTACAAATTTCAAAGACAGTTAATAATATACAGCCGTTGAATTCTTTTCAAGAATCCATTCCGAAAAGTTCCAAAACTTTTCTGCACGTAATATTTATAATATATATACCTTTATTTTATTTTATTTTATTTTATTTTATTTTATATATCCTAGCAATATAGTTTTATTTATTTTGTTTTCCTTTAAACGGTATCGACTAACAATTTTCATTCTATTGAGTTTTTAACAAATAAGTCTCTCTTTCTTTTTATTTATACTGTTCTTCTTCTTCTTTTTGTTTGTTGTTGTCGTTGTTAGTATAAAAGTTAAATTTTCGTATAAAATTTATATACTTAACTTGTTGTGAAAAAACGTTTATAAATTTTTTAAAAGAAAAAAGCATCATCGCAAATACCGCGTAATATATACTCGTGCAAGATTTGGATTAATTATTAAAACTCGGACTATGTTTATCATCATTTACAACCAAACAATACTGTAATAAGTCATTTTTCTACGTTTATCGCAAATAAGCAATATCGATAAAGAGAATAATTAAATTTACTTGCTAAAGAAAAAATATTAATTATAATAATAATAATAACCTTACATATTAATACCAACGATCACATTAATGAAAAATAGTTCACATTATATATTATTATTATTATCATCAATGAAAGCTATTATTATATAGAAGTTTTTAAGAATATCGGATATACTGTTCACAGTAAACAAGATAAACATTGAATAGAAAAAAAATGAAATAACAATAATAATAATAATAATATAATTATTTAAAAGGAAAAAACATATAAATTATATAAACTTAGTCATGGTATTTCTCTTCTTTTTTAACGATTCATTAAATTTTGTTTTACCTAAATTAGGTAAGAACTATATTTAATCGTTTATACCGATATTTATTACAAAAATGAATAACTTGTGATTACTTTTAACATTATATCCGATATATAAAATAATACCCTTACAAATGAAAAATACTACTAACGCGTTCGTTTAAATTAATAATTTTTTCAGTTTGCAAAAGAATTAAATATGTGAGACAGATAATTTCATGCTTAATTATACGGATAGAATTAATTTATTTTAATACAATCGAATAAGAATATATCTAATTGTAAGTATCGAATACTTTCATGCCCCTTTTCTTTTTTTTTCTAAGGAGCATGTTACGGTAATTTCTTTTTTATTTATTCGGAAATCGCATTGTATTATTAATTAGATGTATCATATTTTTCTCTTTCTCTAATTTCAATTACGGACGGCAACATTTGTTTGGACAAAATATAATGTGAACATCATCGATGTTACACACAATTGTTTTCTCCATATTATTTAACACATATATAATTCAGATATTAACGTAATATATATTAAATACGAATTAATTGTATGTATGTATGTATGTAAATATATTTTGAATATAATATAATTGTATGTCAGCAACAATTACTTGTAAATTTAATTAATCAATTAATTAGAAAACAATAATTTTCTTCTCGGTACTTTCTTATAAGATATAAATAATATTAGTATCAAGATAAACGATCTGCCTCACAAATTAATAAGAAATGCAAGTGACTAATAAACTACAATAACGAAAAAAATAATACAAATGCATGTAAATCGCGCGTGTGTATGTGTGAGACCCTTTGAAAACGAAGACTCCACTCTCCACTTCTAGGATATTCCATTTCTAACTGGAATACTTTTTAGAAAATTAGTTTAGTTTTATTTAATTTACTTTCCTTTGCTAACTGAATAATCGTGTCAGTATCAATTAATTTAATTTATCCTAATAGGAATTTCATCCACAAGTTTCTTTTTCAATAAAACTAAAGAATTCATATAAAAAAAAAAATCTTGCGGACAATAAATAATGTAAAGAACAAAAAAAAAAAATATATATATATATATATATATCCTAAACGCGTTTGTTTGAATTTAATTTTCTTATTTTTTTGTTGTTTCTTTTCTTTCTTTCTTTTTTCTGTTTTTAGAAATACAAAAAAATGCCAATAATTAATTGCAATAAATCATCAAATTTCGACGCTACGAATTATCACTGTCGATGTATTTTTAGTTCACGTTGTTTACATTTGCCGCATTTGCATAAAATAAAATAAAAATTGCACGATAAAAGCTAATATGTAAATTAAATAAAAATAAAAAAGAATATACATTTATATATATATATATATATATATAAATCTATACATTTACGTATGTAAATCTAATTTAAATATGAGACATAAGCTAATACATCTCATTCTTTGTTTTAAGAAAGAATAATATCATTTTCTAAATATAAAAATTAATTATTCTTGTTGCCACAATTTGTTAATTATTATTTGTTATTTTGTTTGTTTTTGTTTCAGTCTCTAGACATATAAAAATTGCATTAATTTTTATTGAACAACGATGATTCTTTTTTTTTCTTTTTTCTTTTTTCATGAATGCTAAAACGTCACATGATGATGATTTATCGCATCTATGTCGTTTACACTGGCGTAGGAAGTGGTTGGTTGTTGACAGATATCGTTTTGGAGAAGAGGAGATTTGACGTTGCGACGCGTCTGATTCCTAGAATTATGTTTAGACCTGTTGGCGCAGTGTTGGATTCTCCAGGCCCCTCGGCGTGACATCACGCCTAAAATGATAACATTAAATAGTGGTAAACGATTAAACAACAACGACTACGACGACGACAACGATAAAACCAAAAAACTATAATAATAAGCGTATATTACACTGTGAACACATATAAATATATATATCTAAAATTAATATAAACACAAAAAACACAAAAATAATAACGATTAAAAAAATATCAAATTACCCAACAAAATACCAGCCTATTTAATAAGAAAAAATACTTTTTCTTAATATTTTATTTAGGATATCTCTTTTGTTTATTTTAAATTATCTGCTAACAAATCACAAGAGCTTTACCAATTGAATCTAAACCGTAAATATTTTTATGTTTAAACATGTAACATTAATAAAGAAATATAATTTCAATACATATCAATAATTGAAAGAACATATACAACATCCCATCCCACACTCATCGAGGTGAAAACAATTCTAAATTTACTAAATAAGGATAGTAACAGGTATAAGATGTTGTGATGCTTTTAAAACTCTAATCATTGAATTTTATCAGAAAATCTAATATTTTGTGAAGCAAAACATTGATTTTTTGACATACATATATAAATAACTACAACTGGAATTGTTTGCATATTGCAGTTGTAATAATTTCCTAAATAAAAAAATAGAGAATTGTTAGTTGTAATAACATGAGAAAGGCAACTATATACAGCAGATGATCGGATAACAAAGACGACATTCGTTTAACCAATCATTCACTGTAACTCACAAAGATACTAAATGAAATATATAAATAAGAAATAATACAATTCTCTCGATTTGATTATTCCCTATCTCTATTCTGAATAAAAAGCCCGTTACCCTTACTAAATATATCTATAAGAATTAAAAATTAAAAATTAAATACGAGAGTAGAAGCTAAGAAGAGAAAGAAGGAGAAATCAAATCTTGTTAAAAAATAATAATAAAAAAAAAAGAAAATAGTGCTGTGTTAGTATGAAAGATTGGCGAGAAAAAAGTTTGATAATGTTATAGATAACAACCACAAATACCTTTTAAATACGAGCAATATTAAATATATATATATATACATGTATATATATATAGTGCGTAAGCTAATCATAATTGGTGATAATTATAGTAATCCATCATCCTATGCTTTACTTCTATTTAGAAATAATATTATTTTAAATGATGGTACAAATTTTAGAGAAAAATGTTCATCTCCTACACACCTATCTCTCAAAATCAATCACTCTGAAGGTAGGTGTAGTTGTGGTGGGTGTGGGAGGAGAATTGGGTTTGCTTACGCGATGATTTAAAGAAGTCTCTTGCACACTGTCCAAATTTCCTCGTATTGCTCTCTTGTGATTGGCCAGCTTCTCTTTGTTCATGGGTGAGCCTAAAATGACCAGGAGCTATGATGCTAGCTCATCTTTTCTTTATTTTATATTTTATCTTATGTACTTTCAATGTACATTTATGTTGTTTTAAGAAAAAAGATATTAAATAGTAAATTATGGAATAAAAGTGATACTTATTTTCTTTGGAATAATCGACTCGAACAAAGCTGTTAAACTATACACTGTTATCCTTGTTTATATTAAAATTAAATCTAATTTTTCATATAATTATTTATATTATTATTGTCTTACCAATATAACTAAGTAACACTGGTAAGAATATTAAACCATGCGCAGCACCAAACAGGACTATTCCCAGGTACATTCTAAAGTAAAACACCTGTAAATATATTTTTTTTTAATTATAACTAATGATACACCATATTTAATTTATATATATATCTGTTACATATAATAATATGTTTGATGAAATACCTGGAATATTTGACTCTTAGCAAAGCCAAGAACTATGATACCACCAAATTTGGTAAGCGTTATGCCACTGAATATGGAACTTCCCATATTTGTTAAAGCATCTGCTACTCTATCAATTCGAGTTGTTTTAACAGATACGGAAAATGAATGGACTAAGTGACTACAAAATTCTACAGCTATTCCTACAGCCTGAAAAATGATAAACATTTTATTATTAAATTCAAATATATACTTAATATTATCTCCTATAAAAATTTTATATTTAATTTTAATATTTGTAAAATACTCTTACCATCACAAGATTTACTAGAGATACAGCATTTAATGTAATATGCCACCAATACATTAATCCTCCGATATTGACCACAATCATAGTGATTGTTATCAAAACAACCAAAGAAGAGAAAATATCCAAACCCATAAGTAAAAATGTGACAACAAAAATGGCTAATAAAGAAATCCCAAGACTTTTTAGCGTATCCGGCCACATAGTTAAATACTGCTCGTAAAAAACGTAGAAGATACTGTAGGGAAAAACTTCTACGGTTTTGTTTTCTCCCATAGATGCAAGATGTTCGTTAATCATATTCGTTATATTAGCTGAAACCAATCTAGCTGCTCTCATCGATTCGTAATAATCCGCAGATGATTTCAAAATTGTATGATAAGCCATGAAATACGATGCCCCCACTGTAGATAAACCGGTATTTGAATCAGTAATGTAATTAACACCGTGACCATAAGCAGCATGACCACCCTTGGCACACGATTCGTCTGGATTATCTTCTAAGAAAAATGATATATATCTTTGGAAATCCATTGGTACTGGTCTACCATATGCATTATTAGTTATGTTACATATATTACAATGACTGGACAAATCTGAAATTTGTTATATTAATTAAAAGATACGTTTGATTTAAAAACTATAAATGGAGTAACATAAAAATATATAAAATTATTTCGTTACCAGTATGCGGACAGAATGAATCATTTTTATTGAAGTATTTGCAACAACCAGCTAACTGAGACCAATCTATGTAATCGTCTAACCAAGATGAAGCAGGTTTTGCTATATATGTTCTGTAAAAATAAATTTAATTTAATTTATTTACCTTGTTTATTTAAATTTCGAATGTAATGCATTACCTGTTCGATAGTTTAGATGCAGTAAATATTTGGGTAGATATCGAATCGCTATTACAATATTGACCACCGCAAATTAAATTCTGATGTCGTGTATCGGAGTAGTTTAAACCACCTTTTACAACAAAATACATTGGTAGGCCGATCGACAAATAATTATTTAAGAACTGTTAAAAAATGAAAAAGATTATTTAAAAATGAATAATAATCATTTAACTTCTTAATTAAATATAATATTTGACATACTTTAAAGTATTTCAGTACAAAACTATCCTCAGGCATAGAAAGTTCTTGATCTAGGCCAATTTCGATATGTGGTACGACTGCGATGCTAGTACAAAGCCAACCGAAGAAAATCAACATTACAGATGTGCGTACCCATTTTTTTAACAATAAAGGAACATATCCAACTTTAAATATTTTATATAAAATTCCATCTACAACTTCTTCGCCTGTGTCTTTCTTTGAACCACGAATGAAGCAGCATACGTCGAGTCTGTTGTTCTAAGATAAGAAAATATTTAATGCAATCATAATCCTTAATAATTTCAAAAGTATAATATAAGATAAATGTATACCATTTGTCTAATTGTATCCAAAGCTAATAAGCTAACAAAACACGTGACTTGCAGAATAAAATCTACCAACAATGCCATACCAGCATAAAGAGCGAAAGCTTTAACAGCAGGCATATCAGATAATCCACCTGAAAATAAAATAATACATTGTTGTTTATCATATACATTGTTGTTTTTTAAATACTATAAATAAGATAAATAAAACATACCAAGGAAAAAACAACAGCTTTCAGAAACACTTGTAAGTAACATACTCGGTCCAATTTGACCAAGTATACGACCAATATGTTCTGGAACCGTTTCGTTCGGTCTTCGACTTTCTCTTTGATGTGTTTGTACCATAATAAAGATATTATCGACTCCGACAGCTAGTACAAGGAATGGGATTACTTCGATTATGATAAGCGTTGCTGGAACACCCACAAATCCAAATAAACCGACAGAACAAATAACGGATGCTAAAACTATTATAACACCACCAAGACCGAGTGTAATTTTCGAATCGATCTGAAACAAATCAATGTTTCAAATGTAACATTATATTTTATTTAAAATATTTGAAATTATTTACACCGTATGTAACGCTTACCAAAAGTCGGCTACAAGTTCTAATTTGACCAAGTGAAATTGCAATATATGCAAACATAATAATATAAGATACAAGAATAGTTAATATATCTGATTGAGATTCACGGTTTAATTCGTCTTCGATTGACCTTTCAGAAGTAAATGCTATGTCCATAAAATTTGGTATCTTTGCCGACGCATTTTTCATAAGTTCGATGAAGCTACGATAAATGATATTAAATATAATCAATTATTGCTCGTATTTATTTAATAACCAAAGTATTTTATAATATTACCTTTTCTCCCATTCTAAAGCTGGTAGCAATTTTGTTTTGTTATGATAGTTGTTAACAAGAACAGTAAGAATAATAGCTGTGGCTTTTTCATACGACGCATTGTGTAAGTCTTGTCCAGGTGAAAGGAAACCACCGACAGCGATAGCAGGATCAACTGGTCCTCCAAATTGTGCAAGACATTCTGGATTGTATGGGTTTCTGAAAATACGTTATTGTAAGTTTGACAAATACTTGTATATAAATATTTTCTTTCTAAAGATAATTATTTCAAGCAGATTTATAACTTACTGCGAACACATCACAAAATGATCCAAATAATTGACAGTATAATTGTCTTCAAGAGTCGTAGTATTAAACTTCTCTAAATCGTTTTGCCAATAGCCCCATATACTTTGAATAGCGCATTCTTCTACCGTCGGTTTACCGGTGAAAGCATTTCTTAAAGGTGCAAAACATATGTCGCTTAAAGTGTGATTACTAGGAGTTACAATTTTCTTTATTTTTTCTTGCAGAGTAAAGACGTATTTAAGAACATCTTGGTTAAATACTGGTCCAAATGTTATTGGCCCATTAGATGTATTATGTACGATCTGAAAATTGTATTAAAATTCTCATGAATATGACATGCAACTCAACATGTTAAATTATAGAACAAGAAGTTAAGTTATATCATTTTATGTAATATCTTAATTTTTACTTACATTAGGCAAACCCACAGTACTTATAATAATTTGTTCCGTTCTATAAAATGGTTCAAAGTGTTCATCGAAATATGCTCTTTCAACGCGTGAGCGTGAATGTGGCGACGCCCACAATTCAACTGGATCTGTAGTAACATTCATGTACTTTATTCCATGTCCCAAACTGACGATAAAAATAAATCCCAAAGAAATGATTAACCATGGACGTGATGCACAAACTAGAATAAAAAATATACTTATATTAGTTGTAATGTGATAATCATGTAAAATTATAAATCAAGTTTATTTTACCTGTTCCCCACCAACAGAAAAATTCTTGTAATAATTTGTCGGTGCCTGCACCTAATCTTTCAATAAAAGTAGATTGAGCGTCTTCAAAACCGTTAGGTAATTCATCAGCTGATATAACACCTGTAAAAGGAATGTATAAATTGAAATAGTCGCATAAAGCGATTTTTAGAAAGAAGACCAAATTTATATGCATATAAAATGACAATAACATGTTAAGCATAAACGAAAGCAATATATTATAAATCGTATTTAGAACATCTTTTTAATGTTATCGTTCATTTAGCTATAAGAATATATAAAAGATAATATAACAAAAAATAATCTTAAAATGTTCTAAGTATGAATTATACGATTTACATATAAATATAATAAAAACAGAAAAAATAAATAACGTAGATTTAATTTTTATTATAAAAAATAATATAAAAATGATTTTAAAAAGAAGAAATAAAAAAGAAAAAAAATGTACATGTTTATTCAAGCATTATTATTATTAACGCAATAAATGACATTACTAGCTGAAACATATAAATTATCTTATATAATTGTAACATTTGGTTTGTTGTTTTGGTAATTGAAAAATACTTATCTTATCAGCATCAGCTTAATAGATATGTTATTCGCATTAGAGTTAATTACAATTAATGAAGGGAAAAAATAATCAAGGAAATTACAGACACACACACTAAGCACGAAGCAAAAACAAAAAAGAACACAAATAAATTTGGCGAAAGAATAAAAGAAGCGTATTATTAAGTCAGAAAGAGATTTAGAATTAAGAAAACCTACTGGAACGTTTAGATTGTAGTGGACTGTCTTCCTGATCAGCTGCGAGAGCAATACGAGCCCCATCTCCTGGGTGGTGTAAACCAGCTGCCAGGCGCCTACCAACCTGTCTTCCTACTTCCTCCCCTCGTGCAACTATATATACGCACACACCATACATACACGACCAATCAGAAAGTATTTTCTTCCTAAATTACTTTCATATATTTTTTGTATGTAATATAACATATATATTAATACATTCACACTTATCTCATGTGAAAAATTGTGTTATTATTTTTAAATGCAAAATTCAAGAGAACAATATGAGCCATTCATTTTGAAATTGGCATAAGTTGCATTGTTTTTAAATTAAAATATTTAAAGACATGTATTTTAGCGCATGTACAAATAATCGTGTCATTCATTGTTTAGTACATACGTCAATATATGCAATAACGTGCTTTTTAGTTGACATTATTAAGATGTTTTATGTAATACAAAGCAATTTCTTGAGAATCTCTTAATGTAATCGTTTCATTCCAAAGATAAATGTCAATATTATTGTTATAAAAATTACGAAATATCAAATTAAAAACGTGCAATTCCTTTTGTGCATATCCCTGCCTTCTAATCTTCTTCTAAACATTTCCTAGCTATTTCTGCCAATCTCAAATGTAAATCGTCTTTAATTATTGTTAAAAAGATGACTTATGCTACTTTTAAAATAAACGGCTCATATATATATACTGCATACCATTTCACATACACAGTATTATAGAAAACAAATAAATCCTAATATTATTCAAATTACACTATTAACGTTTTGATATTACCTCCAAATAAACCTAACATAAAATTATTAGAAACATTAAATATATTTGTTATGTAATATATTTTATATAACTTCATAGAAAAAAATAAAAAAAAAATAAAAAAATAATAGATTAAACCACAACCAAAAATAAAGAGTTATTATATAGATTATAAAACAACAGTAAAACACTCCATAATAACCAGAAAATAACCAATAGTATTAATTTAAGAAGTTTCCTTCATAGAACAACGATAAAGATTTGTCTATTACAGTCCTAGAGATGAGTAAATAGAATTTAGTAATAGTTAAATTAAATTAGTCACTAGAAAATCAAACGAATTAATGTGTAAGTGTATATTAAATCAAATCAAAGCAAAATATATATATATATATTATAACAAAATATGGCATAAAAAGAAATTTAAAATGCATAGCATTTCAAGTTCACACTATGTGTAGATTAAAATCAAACTTTGCAATAGTTTTTTCTTTCGATTTTTGCTTGCTTTAATATTTGTTAAAATAAATAGTTAAAATATTATAATAAATTTACTGTCGCTTCTTACCAATCTTTTGTCGATTACTGAAACAGATTTCCAATAGAATGAAAACAGCCGATCCACAAATGAATATTATTATCATAGTAACTTCATATCCATCGTAACCAAAAAGACTGAATGGTCCTGGAGGTTGAGGAAGCGGCTTTGGAACTGGACAACTATCTTCGCAATCGACGCAACTACATGCTGGAGTTTGGGCCTAATAAACACAAATACACAAAGTTAAATAAAATAATATTAGAAGATATTTTAATTATAATAAAGTTAACATGATTTATACTACAACAAATATTTAACTTACATTCAATGGTTTGCTACAAGGGGTGACTTTTGGATCCATTGGTTTGAATGGACCAATAGGATTATCCGTATTGATGTATGTAATTTGGAAAGGAACATAAAGATTATTTGCAGCATCGCCCATATTATGGAACCACTTCTGTGGAGAACATCGACTCGAGCCCCATTCCCCACACATGATATCTAAAGCAAGTTGACCCGTGCTCGGAACTGATACTTTGTTACAAGATTTATAAGTTCCATCTAGATACTTGTTAGATATATATACATCTATTTGATTTACATATTCGGTACCTGGAAATTGCACAAAATAATAGATGTTATAAAAAAACTAAATTTGTTTTCAAATAAATAAAGAAAAAAAATAATTACCCTTATCATCTTTCAATACTTCTGTGACATTTATAAAACTGCTTTGATGAGGGCTACAAGTAAATTCACAGAAATGTTTAGATAAATTATCTAAGCAACTAGGACAACGTTTCAAAAAGTTTGCTGCCAGTTTAACATTCTGCTTTAATGTTTCTAATTGTTTAATATCGCAACAAGTATTAGTTGGTTTGTTTAGATCTGTTATTAAATGCGGACATTGTTCTGCAAGTAATTTTTGTCCTTCATCGTCTAATGGTAGAGCAGGACCAGTATAATGGCAGTTCTTGATATGTGTAGATACATCTTTGTAACATTCCCCATGCCAGATACAATGATCGGTATCTGCGCTGTTTACCTGTTTATAAATATAAATTGATATTAAAAATCATTATATATAAAATATATTCTTATAATAATAAAAACTATGACATTAAATATTATTTCTATTGAAAAATGAACGACAAAACTCTGTAATAACTCAGACACTATATATTAAAAAAATTAAATTATTAATAGAGAGAAAAAGGTCATAAGTACAGCTAATAATATAATCCAAAGTTCTTCAATTACTTCAAGAGTTATTATAGCGATCATCAATTGAGAATGTCTCACGAGTAAAGTATCTTTCATATTAAGCCTTTGGCCAATGATCTCTCACAGGTCGAGGTCAGAACAATACAAGTAACAAAATATAAGATGTTAATATTAATTTAATTTCTTATTAATAAAATAATATTTCTGCACATCTCGTGTTATATTAATTATAAATTTATATTACATCTATAAGAACTAAAAAAAGAAAAAAAAGAGATAGAACGATATTAAAATTAAGTTATCATTTTATGTCATCATTTTCTTTATGCGCATAAAAAAAATTAAAAAGAATATAAGGAATATTTGAAATTGCATGTTATAAAAAGAAGTATAACTTCCCGAATAAAATACTAATGTAAGTCAACTAGATAAGGAACATTCCTTTCTCATTAGTGTCATTTTTACTGGTATATCATTTCTAATTACATATTATCAATACTTAGTCATCATTGGTGTACTATTAAAGAATTCAATTGTGTAGCAAATATTATTAATGTTATATTAGAATGAATAATTAAAGAACATTGGAACATAATACAGGAGAAAAAGATGAAATGTATTTTCTACCAACTATAAACAATTTTCGGGAAGAAAACATATCGCGTCAGAGTTTATTCTGGACGACTACGGACGAACGTTAAAATCTGCCCATTTCGCAATTCATTTTCTTAGACTCATTTTGTTTACTTTGCATAGTCGAAAGATTAAATTCTTCTAATAAAAATGATTACGTATGCATATTAACACCTAAGTATTAAGAAAGAAAAAATAATAAGAAACATAACAAAGAAAAATTAACAAGTAGATAATTAAAAATAACTCTTTTTTTTCTTATATATGAATTAATAAATGGATGTAATCATAATGGAGCAATGACGAAGTTGGATTTATTCGATTGTATTTAATAGGCCACATTAAGCTTTGACCTCGGTTTAATAAAAGTTCCGACGCCTTGCTAGACGTTCCTCTTCTTCTTCTTCTTCTTCTTCTTAAAGGGGACAAGAAGAAGAAGACATGGCATAATTAAATCGAATAAAAGGCTCCTCTTCGCTAACGATCGAAAGTTGTCGATAGGCTTTCTCGGACATCGACTGAGATGACGTCACACTATACGCACACTAGCCGACGAGAACTCTGATTGGGTGTGGTATATACATCGTATACAATACATAAAATGGGTTATCTCACACATATATACATACACATGTAGGCTTCATGACATATATGCATGCATATATATATATATATATTTATACATTTGGTTCGGCCTTAAACGCGACATGAAATAATATTTAGAATTACTTACAACGCACGCAATCCAGGACAAGGATATCAGAATAAAAAAGGTTGATCCAAGTGACATCGTTGAAGACGCCGAAGGCCTGCCTGTCAAACGCCAACTGTGACCTCGAACTTTTTCACAAGAAGTCCGATACATCCACATAATTTTACTTTCTTTTACCAAATTTGTTGATTGTTGTTGTTAGTGGACCTCCCAAAAAAAAACAACTTCACGCTACGCGTCCTTACGCGATGTTTTTCACCCCTTCTTCTTCGTCCTCTTCTGTCGACACTACAATTCTCACGATGTCATACGCGTTGCCATAAGTTTATAACTTATTACTATTTCCACACCGCACGACCGTTTCTCCTCGACTGATACACTCGCGATGATCTCTCCTCTCGAAATTCTCTTTCGATATTAATACTAGTCCAATATTCAACTTGTCATGCCAGTCGAGATTCTTCAATGGAAATATTACTCCCTACTCGTTTCTATGACGCATGAAGTCTGTTCAGACAAGCTTGGTCAACTTCGCACAACTTCGGTTTACTTCGGTAGATACTCATCAGCCATTGGTTGTTACTGGAATGGAAATATACGCGCGATTTTTTGTGAATTTGAAAGCCAAATTATGTTCGATCTGATTATACGACAATCTCTGACTTTAAATTTATGATAATTCTTGATCAAAACAATCCAAATAATTCTGAAAATATCAAAGATTAATATAATGCTTGATATTTTTAATATTATTAGCGTAATTGTGTAAAAATTCTTAGATTATATATACATGTATTAAGGAATAAAATTTGAATATATTATTAAACCTTATGTAAGTAGATTTTTTTCATCGCGTTTTCATTAATAATCTAATGATTATTAATTATATGACTACGTATTGCTCAGTATTTAAGATTATATAACCTAATAATAGATTATTTCTTGAATATCTCTAGAAGTTTTTATATCTCGGCAATGGTGAACATACAAATTTTTTTGTCCATCCTTCTGTTTTATCTATTTCTGGAACAACAAATATACAATTCTATTAACCAATTAAATTTATATAAACTACTTTTTGCAAATCCAATAAAATAGTTCAATAGCGATTAATTATTATGCTCTCCAAGATATCACGAAGTAGAAAGATGCAATTCAAGATCCATTGCCAATAGAATAATCTTTAATTCAAAAGACTATTTATAAGAATCAAGAGGGAGATTTAACAAAAGAGAACGAATTTTATTTTCTTTTATTTTATTTTCATGTACCTATACCAAACAAAAAAGTTGACCTGAGTCTTTTTTGTTCTTATAATTGATGATATCCAGCAGCACCAACTTCAAAACAATAAAGAATTTTGTAATTTCCTAATTATCTATGATAAAGACCCTCCCAGGAAACTCAGAATTTTTTAATTTTATCAATGACGTTAACTTGGATAAATTAGCAATTTGTATAAATAAAATACATAAGCAGAGATCAAGTGTAAAACTTGATATTTTAACTTTGTGATATCAGCTGCTATCTACTTTTATCAGTTGCTATACTAACCATGTTAAATCATTGCATTTTTTAGTAATAGTTGAAAAGTTTACAAGTTATTAAACGTCTTGAAAAAAAAAAAAATGTAACACGTGAGATTTTTTTCTATAAATTCAATAAATTCAAAAAAGAGACTAGTTTTTTTATATATTTTTTTAGGTCTGGTAACTAGATTAATTTTTAGTAATTTAAGTTGGCTATCACTAAATCATATCGATTGAGCTGTCATCTAGCGACCAATAGAAAAACTTAAAAAGTAAGATTAATGTCACATAACACATCCAAAAATACATCGAAAAATTAATTTAATCTTTCAATCCTTTTAACTTATAAGAAAAATTATGGCAACTGTTAAGTTACGAACCTTATCAAGAAATCTACAGTTATCAATTCTGGTGAGTATTTTATTTCTAACGAAAAATAATATATTTATCACGTGTCATTCTGATGAAATGACTTCATCGATAGCGTTGCACTCGACTTTTTTTTTAGAAACATTCAGATATCTTCGATGATAAGAAATGAAATCTGCTCGGTTGGTAATGTTCTTCCTTATCGACATTTTCGATTTATTTAAAAAAAATCTTTTTGTTTTTAAATTCAAAAGGCATAAAAAAATGGAATATTTCGTGTATTATAGCAATTAAACAAATTGAATTATTCTATACAAATAAAACTATCATTTAATTATTATATAATTAAAAAAAAAAATGTTTTCTTTTTTTATGATTAAGTCCGCAAATTTTCAACGGAGTCTAAATACAATTGACGAGATGAAATTGAAGCCAGAACAGGTGCTATCTGAACAAAATCGAAAATCAAGCATCGAGAAATTTAAAAAATTTAAACTAAACGTAAAATACAAAGATAGCACAAATCAAGCGGCGGTGCTAGTACCAATTTGCATTCATAAAGGGGAACTCGGTCTTCTTTACACCTTGAGATCATCAAAATTGAATTCAAATCGAGGACAGGTATCTTTCCCGGGTGGAATGTACGACAAAACTGATCGTGACCTAGAAGAGACCGCGTTAAGAGAAACTTGGGAAGAGTTAAAAATACCGAAAGAAAAGATCGACGTATGGGCATGTTGCAATTTGTTTCCAGCCAAAAATCTAACAGTAATGCCAGTATTGGGCTACGTGGGTGAAGTTGATCCAGAAAACTTAGAAATAAATCCAGACGAGGTTGAGGAGGCCTTCGTCATATACCTGAAAGATCTTTGCAATCCATCTTTATGTCGTTTTACGCACTTTCGCAATATCTCGATGTTGCCTACTTATCTCGGCGGCAAACATCGTGTTTGGGGTCTCACTGGTGCTATCACTCACGTAGTTTTATCCTCCTTGCTACCTGGAATTTACAGACATGAAGTTATCGATTTAAGATGTATGATCTCATCCAAATTCAAAATAACGAATAAAAATAGTATAAAGTAATTATTATAATTTTAAATCAATATTTAGGAACGAATATAATTATTTCGAAGAAAATTGTCTTTTTTTTACCTGATGTTTTAGAAAAATATATGCTATTTATATATTTTGAAGTTATTTCATTATTTGTTAATATGATTTGATTTTTTTTAATATATTCGAAGGTTCATATACATTTATATATATTTATATATATATTTCTTTCGAAGTTTGCGTTTAATTGTGAATTTTCATTATTAAGCAACTTCTTGTTTATCGATTTCAAAAATCATGATAACTACCTGTGTATGTATGTATGTATGTATTTATGAAATTCGTAAGAAACACATTAATATCTAAATACCTGTTCATATATACACGCAAGAAGCGAGGTGAATATATTACAGGTGTGAAAGGAGTTTCACTCGGAGTTTACGTGTGAATGTATATTTAATGGGATAGAAAAAGAAATAAGGATCAGTTAAAGTAGGGGAAAACAGAAAGATAGACAGAGAGAGAGAGAGAGAGAGAGAGAGAGACAGTAAGTTATGAGGAAAAGAAGAGAGGTAAATAATGGTTTGGCGAGCTCGATATTCCCTCACGAAAGACAGTCGCAAAATCGCATGCGCGGTAACCACAACATGCACCAATTTTGAAATTCAATGGTAAGAATAAAGTGAATAATAATATTCATAAAAAAGTAAAAATAAAAAGGGAACAAGTTGATAAGAATTCGCAAATGATTGAAATGCCGGTGGAATCTTCGATATACTGGAACTCGTTCGATTCTCAGAGGACTACTTCCGGTGGAAGTTCGAACAATAGTGATCGTCATTACGTCGATCCATGGGATTTAGAAAATTATGCTTATCTTAGACGATATAGTATTAATGTTCCAACGCAGCGTTATCAACAGGAACGACAAACTTCTTATCAATCCGAATATTGGTAAGAAATGAATATCTATAATGTATAATTTATTTTTAAGTTAATTTGTATATCAAATAAACAATTCATATAAAACAAAAAATAAAAAAAAAAGGAAAATATTAGCCAAATATGAATGGAATTTGAACGAGTGTTAATTAATAATATGACAAATAATAAATATTATGAGAAGCGTAAATATCGCGCATATAATTTTACGTATAAAAGACATAAACGCGTTATTTCGTGAGAAATGAAGATCTTCACGCGTCGTTGGTAACAGGGTCACGGAAAAGCTAAACATTTTGTTCGAACGGAAAATCAGATCGAGTATGAACAATATTTCTTTTTCTTAACAGATTATTATTACCAATTAATTTTGTAATTTTTCATTTAATTGAAAAAATGTCTATACTTCGCACGTAAATTGCAGTACTTGTTGCATAGTAATGAGAACCGAAATAATATAGTTTCTGTCGTGTGAAAATAGGTATAGCCAATCATTAAGAGAAGCACAGTATAGTATACCAAGTTTAACACAGAAGTTCTACAGTGACTCGTCCTGCAGAATGGAAAACAATGCCTACCATTATCATCGTCATCCCATCTATGAAGATGAAGTTACAAATTGTGTTCCTTCTTATTCCCTCTACACACCTATTTCTGGTAAATTATTTCTGATTTCTTTTTTCTTATAATTTAATCAAATCTATAATAAAAAACAAACCAATTTCAATATAGGAATAATTTAGGATATTCAATAATTAAATACAAGAAAAATAATAGAAATAAATTCATTGCAATCGATAATATTACTTGAAAATAATTATATTTGAAGATTTAAATTATTTAAAAAGAAAAAAATAAAATTACACGAAGATACGAATATTTTTGATTCTATAATTATCTTCAAGTAATTGGATTAGAATGATATTAATAATTAATACATCCCGATAATCAAGGAGAAATCCATAAATGACTATGATACATAACTCGATTTAAATGCACCTCTGATGCACTCATGCGTTTACGTGTGCACGCATACCATGTATGTCATACAAGAGTATCATGTTGGAAGAAGCTTAGAACATATATACATACAATTGAAAGCAAACGAATTTCTCTATTTTGCACTTGTAATCAAATTTCCCTTGTTCTCTAATAAACTCCGCCTCAAGCTATTGTTCGAAGTTTTTCTACAATATCTAATCAAGCAAAAGTTTAATGAACTCGGGCGGAACAAATTGTTAACCAATACAAACAATACTTTATTGTTTCCTTTAACTTTCCAACGTTTATACTCTTGTTTTACACACACATATACACACATACCTACATAATCACTTTTCTTTTTTTTATATAATCTGATTATGAGTTATAATAATACTAATAAAAATTGTAATATCGATCCATTGGTGCATAAGATTCAATATTTTTGTTATTTTTCAGCTCTAGCATCTTGCGAAATGATGGAAAATTATTCGATATCGGATTATGATTACAGATCCGTAGATGAAAGCTCGCAAACACGCACAAATACAAATTCGAGATATACACAAAATTATTCTCGTCAGTATATGCCGAATGACAGCGTACGACACTTAGGTATAATTTATTATTATAATTTATAAAGTTTTCTTGTTATAAATTTTTTTTTATTGTAAATGTATATAATTGTTACCTTTAACAGAGAAATTGCAGTATAACGTGGAAGAATATTATGCAGGAATGTCTCCGGTGGAAGATAATTATATGACACATATGATGACACCATTAAATCTTGATTTGAATACATATGGGCATCTTAAAATTGATTACACGAGCAGTTGGAACTCACTAAAAAGAAAAATTAGCAAATGAGTAAATAATAATGAATCTTTTAATGTATTAAATACTTAACAATTAATTAATATCTATAATTATGTTTTTTTAACATGTTTAATAATTTTTTTAATGTTTCTTCTAAACTTTTTTTTATATATATCGAATTTACGTACGTAAGAAATAAACATAAAAAATTTAACTATAATGTTAATAGATTTTAATATAATAATTAAAAATAATCTAAATATTTTAATGAATAAAAAAATTTAATTTATACATAATTATTAATATTATATATCAACTATCGCCTCATTATCTTCGCAATAAAGTTTTTTTTTTCTTGTAGTTTTTTCCGAAGTATATTTGTCCATATTATCTTCATTTCCTAAATCAGTTGTAATTATTTTAGACGCTTTCGATACGTTCAATCCAGGCCACCTTAAAATAAAGTTTAATTCAAGTTTTTATATGGAGTTTTATATATCCTTTGTTTTATTATATATATAAAAAATGTATTTGCCTGAAAGATGGTTTGTCTTTTTTCTTAATTTTCTTAATTTTAATTACTGTTGATTGTTGACTCGAAGTATCGTCCATCGCTGGATGCCTTACTTTTTTATTTTGGTACTGTGCATTTAATATTTTTTAAAACGACTAAATATATCAGTATAAATAAATAAAATAAAAAATATATTTAAATTATTTTTAATTTTTTATTATATAAAAACCGAATACCTGTTGTCTCGATTCCAACAATGTTTTATATTTTTGTATCTCTTCTACGTACTTCCTTTCGAGTTGAAAGATTTCTTCTTTGTGTCTTTCCTCTTGCAATGCCAAATTAGATTTCAATAGTTCTAGTTCATCCTGCAATTTACAAACTAAATAAACTCCTTTACTAATTCTATAAATTACTACGAGTAATAATGAACTATTTTTATAATAAAAGAAATCTCTTATAAAAAAAGAAATAAATAAATAAAATGCATACTTTGTTCATCTTCAACATTACGATCAACGTAAATGAATCTAAGATGATTGCATTCCTCTCGGGATTCAAACAATGCTTTTTTCAATTCCTCATTTTCTTTTCGTACCTCTTCGATAGATTTTTTACGTTGTTCTTCTAATAATGTAAATGTTTTAGTCATTTTTTTCATTTCTTCTTCCATTTTGGAAGACTTAGATTTCTCGTATTGTAACAATTCATCCTGAATGTTACTAAACGTTTTTAACGATAAATAAACCTATCATAATAATGATTTAATTATTAATGTATTATTCATGAAATGTTATAAAAATCGATACAATTATTATTTATTTAACTTACGTTTTTTAATTGAGTAAAATTGTCTAATAACGCTTGTAAATCTGGACGTAAAGTTGTACGGCAGGTAGCCATATTGATAAAGATTCAAGTTTTGAATTGGCGCGAATTACATACGATTAGCGAACGTGGCGTCATCAAGGGGCAATTACTGGTACCATATTAAAAAAATAGCGGGTAATTGCACATTTAAATTTTTCTTTTCTACAAATAAAAAATATCAACTTTAAAACAATATTTAATATAATAATTTTGAATTAAATATGCATGCGTATGTTTCCATTTTTAAATAATTTGTTTGAAAACTATATCGAAACCAATTTACTCGTAGATACAGGAATGCATATTTGTTATTATATAAAAAGAAAACAAATGCATTTCATATGCATCGATATTGTTTAATCATTTTTTATATGATTGCTAAATAAAATAATAATAAATTAAATAATGAATTGCAGGCAACATGCTGGAAAAGAGATCGATGAATCGATTTTCGAAGAAATATGTGACATTATATTCGACTTAATACCTCAAGGTATTTGACTTTTTGATTTTGATTTATAAAAAAAACATAATATTTATAAATTAACCTAATCATAATTAAATTTTTATATATATCATTATAGCACCGCAATTGAAACAGCTCTTTTTAAATTGGAGTGAATTAAATGACAGAGAAAGAACACGATTGGATGTGAAAAGTCTGCTATGGTGTTGTCCAAAAAGAAATCTTTACAAATCATTACGCGAAGCCATGATCCGTTGGGAAAATATACAGGAGACTGAAGGTTATTATTTAGATTTAATTAATTAATTAATTATCCTGTGACAATCGTATTTTATAACGAAAAAGAAATGTCCTTATTTTGTTTTTTCTTTCTTATTTTTGAAAGTATAGATCAAACCAAACAAAATTAGAAATTGTTCTACGTAAACAGGTGCTCCAGGATGCGAACCAAGTACAATACCGTCGCGTTATTCTCATTTGGAAGAGGAACTCGGAAATCTGGTCTTTAATATGGAAATTTGTTTGTTGAAAAGATCTGAAAATATGTATGACCGTGTTGTTGATAAACGAACAACTAACAGTAGTCCTCCTTCGAGTAATATTAATTGTAAGAGAAATAGTTTCACGCTATTATCAAATTGCAAAGATTATTGTCGTGTTATCACCAATCCGAAAACAAGCTCTTTACGTTCTATACATAGCTGGTGTTGTTCCGTCGACAGTAAAAGCTCCGAAGATGAGCTAAGTGGTTATTTGACAAATTGATATTCAGCAATAATCCTATACATTTTGTTGTCTCTATCGTGTTTTTTTTTTGTTTAGAATAAACAATACATCTTGCATTGAACGAACTCTCTTTTTCGATGAGAAAAAGAGACGACGTTAATGACATAAAATATTTTATTATATTATTTATAGGTTCAAGGTGCACGAACGTACAATTAGATAATATAATTAATCGATTAATCACTATAGCGCAAGTCATATATAATAGAATCGAAGGAATTTTTCATTTGTAATATGTATAATATTGTTTTCAAATTATTTAGAACACTTTAAACATCCGAACTTTCTTTTTTTCTAAGTTCCTTCGATAATTAAAATTTTGTTAATTGATTTGTTTTTAAAAGTAATCATTGCCGTCCATTAGGACAATACTCAATACTTCATCGTAGCTAATTAAAACTGTTCAGGAACACAATTTTTTTTCTTTTCTTTCTTTTGTTAACTTTTTTTTGTTATTGTTCTTATTGTTTCTTTGACAATTTGCAATATCTACGTTTTCTTTCCCGGTTATTTTGTGCAAATCGGCGTCGACACCATCGTGGAACGTAATAATCATTTAATAAAATTCGCACAAGAATCATCATCATATTCACACGTTTTTTTAAAACACATAACATTCCTCTTCGAAGGAAACATCATTTGACTGAGTTTTCGATAAAATATGACTTCATACCTAATATATGTATTTAAAACTTGAAATTGTCATAATTACGGCTTGCTTCCGCTCGTAGTAGTTCACAATTCGCAAAAAGAATTGAACAAATGTTTATTTTTTAATAATACCATTATACTACACACACCATCTATTGTGTTTTTTGTATTATATCTTGCTCGTCGAGATATATCGCATCGATGCATCATAGATTATTATTATTATTATTATTATTATTATTATAACTAGCGAATGCAGATTTGTTTATTTAAAACCGCAAAATTGAATGCGCTATAACGCGCACCGCTATCGGGCTTGCTTTCTTTTTTTATTCTTCTTCTTTTTTATTATTTTTGTAATCCTTTCGCTGTGATACACAAGTTTAAATATATATACTCGTATATTTTTATTTTTCATTCTAATGATGCGTCCATTGTCAAACATATATAATATGCCTAACGTCTGTTCAAAATGTCCACATGAGATGCAAACAACGACATAACGTAATAATTTAATAATATTCGGCCGTTGTCGATTCATTCCCAGGTAGAATTTCTGTTTAATTCGTTTAATAATTATACTAAAAAGTTTACACAATACTTTACTCTACGCAAAGCTGTGTTTTTTCTGTGTTTATTATTATTATTATTATTATTATTATTACTATTATTATTATTGTTATTGTTATTATTATTATTATATTATTCGTGCGCGTACATTATCTATGCACTCTCACATTTGTGATACATTTTCTAGATTTTTTGATACTTAATTATTTATTTATTTATTTTTTTTTTCTTTTAAAGTATCGATCGAATCTTCATTAATGGATGTTACACAATTTCAATTTGCATTCTAATTACCGTACGTTACTACTTATTGTTTAAAACTTTTTGTATTCCCGAACAAAAAAAGTTACACAAAAATTCCCTATGTACAAAAACACACACACGTATACGTGCGTACATACATATAATGTTTCGATCAGAAATGTAAAACAATATGTATATATATATATATATATATGTTTCCTGTTTCTTTTTTTTTTTTACATGTTTATACAAATCTAATACGTGCAAAGTGTCGCGAATGCATTTCACTCATGTAGAGCAGCAAGAGTGTGTGTTTTAAATATTGAATACATATTTTTCTTGTTACTTCTAGGATCTCTTTTTGCCTAGTTTTATTATTTGTATAACGTCCATCAATGAAAACCTAATTCAATCTACCTGAACATATGCAATCATTCATACACTTGTTTTTTTTTTTTTTTTAATTTTAACAAAGATTGTGTTCCAGATACTCTGTTATCGTTTACCGTAATTTTGTTTCTTTTACGGTAGATTTTTGTTTGTTAATTAACCAGTAACCGTTTGACGGTGACAAAAATTAAACAAAAAAATTAATTTTTTTTGTTTATATAACTTTAGCTAACACGTATCTTTTTTATTTATTTAATCATTTTTATTTTATTTTTTCCACGGAAGACCCGCAAATAACAGTTTCTATTCCCTGCAGATTAAAACAGGGACTCGGTTATAATCCACAAGAAGAAGTGTGGTCCCGAAATATTTATCTTGACCTGTTTCTTTTTTTCTTTCTTTGTTTTGTGGCATCGTTACGTGCATCGATCACAATTTTTTGTTTCTCGAGTAAGACTCAAGCTGTATAAGATTCACACGGTGAATACGCCCAAAGTACTTGTGATTTGAGAATGTTTAGCTTTTTTCTTTATCTTCTTTTTTCTTTTTCTTTTTAAATATCGAGGTTACGAACAGCCGCTTTGTGCAACGATACTCATTATTATTATTATTATAATTATAATTATTATTTTTACTAGTATTATTATATTATTATTATTATAATTAATATTAATATTAATTGTATCGTTTTATATACGTTTTTAAATAGAACACCTCTGTTTGCGACTTTTGGAGGGTGTATTTGAGAGAGGTGTAGGGGATGTGAGTTGCTTTATTATACCCCCTATGAAAAACATGATTTAAAACGATACGAGTTTTGTAGTAAAAAAATTTGTCGCAATACCACTCGTTTCGTACGCGGTAACTTTGTTTTTCTATTTATCTTCTTATTCTTTTTATTTAATTTCATCACATAAGAGGCGCTCCGACACTCGATAAAGAAATAGTTGCATTTTCAAAGCACAAATGTATTTTTTTTTCTGTCTTTCAACGAAGTTACAAACCCCTGTCTATTCGAGCACGCAATTTATAGGCTAACTGTAGACAGGAGTATTTTATCAGAGAGTATCAGGACTTAAAAACGCGTCACTAGAGAACGTTTTTTCTTTTCCTTATCTTTTCTTCTTTTTATATCAGTAGAGTTTGACTACGCGCGTTTTTTCGAATAATTATTATTATTATTATTATTATTATTATTATTATTTTAAGGAGCTCTGTTTTTATCCTTTTTTATCGCATGTATTTACAACAATCGCAAAGCAAAGAAATCATAATATTACATATATATATATTGTATATATATTGTATATATACGTGTATTCATTTGCACTAATTGAAAATTATCTATTATATGCATATACTCATAATAAAATAATAGATTTTCGAAAACAGGACTAAAGCATGAGACGACACTATCTAAACCCCAAGTCTATCATCAAATGAATAAAAGCGACTCGAGAAATAACTCTTAAAATTAATCATAATTCACACAGCTACATAATCATCATCATCATCATCATCATAATCATCATCCGCATCATCTATTGCATTTTCAAAAACATATCTCATACGTCCATACATTTCCACGACGTGTCCGCACGACAAAAAATTCGGAACTATTTCATCTTGTTTCTATCATTACATTTTTTTTCTTCTTTCTTTTTATATATATATATTCGCCTTGAATAATTAGTTGATTAAATTAAATTAAACTTTACCTTTGAACTTAAATTGCACAATTTAAATTATATAATATTTTGAAAAAAGTCCAATTACTTTTTATCCCTTTTTATCTTTTTTTTTTGGTTCTTTCTTTCTTTCTTTCTTTCTTTCTTTCTTGCGTTCTAGCTTTATTTTTTTTTTCTTTTGTATTTTTGTTTACTTCTTCTCGATAAAGAAAAAATTTTAAGTACACCTTAGCCTGAGATCGAATGACTAGCATTTTCGGTTGTTATTTGCGCCACTATTTTGAAGGCGTAAACGGTCTTGACGACGTGGCCGTTTCCCCTTTACACTGAACACTTCCCTTAATTTGTTACTCCTCTCCAATCGACCTCTTTTCAGTACTTGAGTCGATCTTTTCTCAAGAACCTATATATGGGAAATAGAAATCAAAGATTAGTCATCGTTAAGAAGAAAAGGAAACGAAAAGAAAAGAAAAGAAAAGAAAAAGAAAAAAAGAATGAAAGAACAAAAGAGTAGGTCAGCATAACGGTTGACCTCATTTTCTATCAAGTTCTAACAATTTATAAGCAAAACTGTATTAACTTTTATATTAAAGTATTCCCCCTTCCCTTCTTCCATTTTATTCTAATAAAAATCATAAATTTTCTCTCTAACATATTTCGAAATAATAATAAAATAAAATAAAAATATATTTTTTTATAGGTAAATATGTTATTTATGATCGAGTATTAGTAGAAAGAGAATAGTTCTTGTTAACATAAACAATCGTAGTATGATGGTAAATAAGCACCTTTTGAGCGGAACGAAGCTGAACGACTCGGACTTTGTCGCTATTAGTCCGGTTATTGGTAGGTCTACCGTCATGGATGGCCGGTCTGGATAATGTATCGTCATCCTCGCTCCTTCTTAAACTACGTTCTAAGGAAACGGTTGATAAATCTGAGGTACGAGCAGGTGGAGTAAGTTCCTCTTCTTCGAGGTCTCGTTCCTCCGTAGCATCTGGCGTTGGTGGTGGAGTATCAGGAGCGATAGGAGACGCTGTAGCTCGATAAACAGACATACTTGGGTGCTCGATCAGCAGGTCCTCGAGCGGTGAGGTTTCTACGTTTACGGGTCCTGCCCGTGTAAAACATGCGGGTGGTGTTACATACCACGATTCCTCCAGCGCCGTTGCGCCCTCAACTGCAAAAATTACATTACAATTAACATTTATTTTCATTCTTGTCATTATAATTAATAGTTTTATTTTTATCGTTATTTGTGAACACTGCAACTCCAATTCTGTTACATCCTTAAACTACGAAACGTGTATTTATATTTTTATTTTTATACACTGTATTTGTAGAATGAATTTTATTGGCTTGCATTTAAATGTATTATTTTATGTTATTCAATGTTATTTCATTTCATCATTGATTTTGTTATTGAAATTCAATATTAAATTGAATATTATCATCATCATTCAATTGTTAAATATTCCTATATAACTTTGATTTAAAATACTGGTTATTTGAACGGTTCGATTATAAACTCTGTTGATAAGTTTAGTATTACGTATTGTCTAAATGATTCAATATTACTCATCTTTCGATTATTCCTTATCAATTTAGTCGAATAAATGTCGTTCAACTCTCTATAGTTTCGAATTGCGATCAATGGTATAATTCATTTCGAAGTGAGACAGTTTTAATCACTAAGATAAGATATTTTTATAAGAGATTTTCGTCTGGTTCATTTGACCTTCTAATATTTAAGATATTCTAATATAATATAATATCTATATCTTAATTTTGTATATATATATATTTTTGTTTTTTTGTCGATAGGAAATGTAAATAACATTTAAAAGAAATGTAATTAATTAAAAAACAAGCTTACTAGTGCGGTCGATGAGGATCCAATCTTCGCCCTCGACCTCCACCTGGCTGAGTCTTGCTATTACAGGGATATGATCCAGACTTTCACTATTAGAAGCATTGCGCGAATTTTGTGTTGCGGAGATATTACCTCCTAGTAAATAGTTTGCCAAGCTACTTAGCATGCTGTCTATTGTTTTTCTTCCTTTTCCTTTAATATCTGCAAGAAAAAAAAATATCAAATTATAAACAATTATAAGATTGTCTCTCTTATATAAAAAAAAGTACTTTCCTCATATATTAAAACTAAAATAATATTTATAAATATTAAACGTAGTTACAATCTATAAGAAAATAATTGCAACCGTGCGCCAATCTGTTATATCTTTACTCATAAAAATGAAGGAAAAGAAAGTTCTACAAAAAATATTATTAGTCATCGTTTGATTTTTGAAATCGACTAATGATCCTTCGATAAATAGGTCGGCTTAGTTTATCGGATGAGTACATAAACATGTATATTACACGAAACGCGTAATTACACCAGCACTAACGAGAAAGGCGAACACTGCCATATACGTATTCATGGTCAAGCAATCGTATAGTTATTGTAAAGTTACGCCATGTATAAAAAGTGTAATCTCTGAAGAAGACCGACAGGTATATTGTAATTAAAAATTCGAAGAATGCATTCGCGTAATTGATTAAACACATACATGTAAATACAGATACGAATATAAATTTAGCATTTACGTACACTTTTTGTTTTGTGAAATTTCACGAACGTTACACAGATCACCTGTATACAATAAAATTAAGAAACGCGAGCGTTTTTGCAGTCGATTGATGCAATATACTTTTTTTACATATCATAACGTATGTAAAAAATAAAAATTATAAACGAGTAATATTGCGTCGCAACAACAAAACTGTCTATACAAGTAACCACGTCAGCTTCGTGTTTCGTACTAATACGATCTTCGTTCTAAAGCTCGATAAGAAGCGTCGGATCACTATCGATGATGCAATTTGCGTTCCGCTTTTCATCTACCATTAAAGACTACTAGGTGGGATTGAAAAATGGTAATAAAAATCAACAGTATACACACGACTACACAAAGCTCATCGTTATTCACAATTCGTAATATGTATTTTAAGAGAATTTATACGCTTAATACGCAAACGAAATAAATTTCTATTATTTTAGTTGATTTAATACGAATTATCGGATTAATAAATTCAATTATTAATTCTCTTTTTGTATGAGCTTTGCTGTGTGAGCGAGTGACTTCGTTATCTCGTTCAAATGAAAAATTGGTATCCTCTAAATCGATATGTACAATATCGCAAAAAAGAATTTTACGCAAGAAAAAAATAAAATTATATAAAATTAAATTATGTCATCTAATCGTATCCTAAAAATACGAACAGTAAAGCCCTAACTTAAGTTATTTTTGATACGACCTTCAAAATCACTCTTGCCAACTATTTTTTTATTTTATAATACTCAGGATAAAATGCGTGAGCTTATTTTTTATAGCTTGCATTGATAAATTATATGAGAGGAATTATTTTGTAATACGACGAATGAAAATAAATGAATGAATGAAACGAACCAAGAATTTACTGGTCAGCGTTGAAATATCCATTTTATTTAAAATTATGTTGAAATAATTTACTTGATTTATTTCATAAAATATAGGAAGCTTACATAATTCTATTCTCGGAAAATAAAATTCCAAGTGTAAGTTTGTTAGAATATTTAAAAAAAAAAAGAACAAGCATTGAAATACTTGTAAATTATAAAATTTATGTTGAATTAATTTACTAAATTTATTTAATAAACTAAACAAGAATAAAATATTATCATCGCAGAATAAAATTTCAAATGTAAATTTGTAAGAGAACATTTTTAAAACCGAACAAGAGTTGAAATATATAAATAAAAATTTATAATTAAATTAAATTAATTAATAAAATTTAATTGATAAAATATAGAAAATGATATCTTCCAAAGATAGAATAGAAAGCATACACGTATGAAGATTTTCGAAAAAGAACACAATCGTATTCTGGCCAGCGTTGAAATATTCGTTATAAAAATAGAAGCATTAGCTCACGTAGTGTTCGCGAATCGGCGATATTGCACAATGGATTGTATGCCGTGTTGGCAAGAATGATTTCAACTTCGTCAGAGAAAAATAAAAATACACATAAGAGGGTGTCAACGGCCTGATTCTCTTCGTAATCGCTAAGGAACATGTTTTCCCCGAGGGTCGTGGTGTGGTCTCTGCCTATGCCTTTCACATATCTGCTACCTTGCCATTGCCCTTGCACTAATGACAATAATGACAACACCACGAGGTCCAACAGTCAACGATCTAAATCTCTAACTAAAACAACCTGACTTCACCGTTATTTCTATTGCATCCAATGAAATTATGAAATAACTTTTCTCTTCCTATCTTTAACATTTCGAAATATCACGCTGTTATTTTTTATTCTTATTATAGATCAATCTGATACGAATTTTTTCGAGATAATATACTTTTTTTTCTTTTCAATCTGAAATATAAATAAATAATTATGACTTTTTTTTGTTACATTTTAATTTTTAATATAAAATTATTATAGCTTTATTACTGATTAACATAATACCATTATGATTTGTTTTCTTCAATATAACAAATTTCTTTTTTATCAATCTGAAAAATATAAATAAATAAATATAAGAGATATTTTTTAAAGCTACATCTTGAACATAATAATTTTTCATTCAAATTAATAGTTTCATTAGTGATAAACGTAGTATCTACAGTATTGTTACTGATTAACGTGGTATCTACAGTATTGTTACTGATGAACGTAGTATTAATCTCTTCAAAGTAACACATTTTTCTTTTTATTACAAATCTGAAATACAAATAAATAATTACAACATCTTTTTTATAATTCACACACATAGAATTATTTAAAATAAAATTTCTTATAATTTGATAACCCCATAAACAGAAAAATATCTCTGATACAATTCTACGCATAATTACTAACAAAACGTCCCATTAGTTATACGTATTATCACTATGATAAAACTCCGTAATCTAACGTACAACATTTTATACAAAATAAAAAAAAAGAAAAGCAAAATATAACAAACAACGTATTTATCTATCATCATTTCCTCAGCAACGGCGACCATTAAAACATTTAATTACAATTTAATCGCTCCAAGATTGTAACCAAATCCAATTAACAACCAATTAAAGATTTCAATAGTACAAACTATTGAGGTTAAAGTCTAGTAATTTCCTTTTCTTACCAAACCATTCAACCAAACAATCCATAATTTAGATTTGGCTTTAAAAAAAAAAGAATTAAAATTAGAACTCTAATGACATGTATAGATTAACCGTTAAAGGACCGATAGGAAAAACATATTCCCCCTCTCCCCACCGTTCTTCCTCCACATAATCCTCCTCTTCTTCCTTCTCCTCCCTCCTCCTCTTCACCAATGACACCCTCTTACCTGTTCCTGTACTTGGTTGCTACGCGCTGTAGCCGACGAAATATACGACAAACAAAGACTCCTTCAAATGGTCGCCCCTCTCGACAGACACACACACATGCACAGATTCTAGCCCTTCTTAGAATTCTTTCTCTCTTTTTCTTTCTTTCTTTCTTTCTTTCTCTACTTTCTAATAATTATTTTCTAACGCTCATGTTTTATAATAAATAAAAAACTAAACTATACGTCTTTTTATACATTCAATATTAAAAATATTTCAATAACACTACGAAACATCTAGCAACAATTTTATAAAACAATAATAATAATAATAATAATAATGTGTGTGAACTGAATATATCATCGATAATTGGTTAGATATTAACGATAATGAAAATAAAATCGAAACGGTTGTATGATAATCGATGCAACTTCATATCGATCAGGGAAATTTAAACAAATGACCTTGAGTAAAGCCGCGAAATTTAAATTGAAAAAATGAAAAATGATTCAATTTGTGTTTCTTTGAAATAGGTCGTTAATTAAACTAGTGTCTTTTATTTGATTTTCTTTTTTAGATCGGATAATGACGAATTATTAGGTATGATCTATACCTCGAAAGAATGGATGAATCGTTGTATAAAACGACCTTGATCTCGAATTTATTTCTTATAAACGTACTTTGTATACCGTTGAGTAGTTTTCCTCGACGCAATAGAATTTCTCTCGGAAAGATGGTAAAACTATGATACGATGATCCCAACTCGATTATGTGTACAAGTGACACGTATGTATACTATGTGTATATAAATGGTGCACTAAACTACAAATGTTTCTCTCTATTTTCTTTCTTCGCTCTTTACTTTGAATGTGTGTACAAGTGCATGTGTGTATGTACGCACGCGCGCGCAAGTATTCATGTTTGAGTACGTGTAGTATGTTGTGATAGATCGTTGAAAACTCGAATCTCAGTAATGTTCAGTTCATCTCACACAAATACTTGAATTTTCCATGTTCATCCCTTTCTATTTGCTGCTGTCTATATACTGTCTATCTTGCTATGTGTGTGTGTGTGTTCTTCCTATCTTACCCCTCCCTTCCTTTTCCTCTTCTTCTTCTTCCTCCTCCTCTTCGTTCCTATGCTATTAAATATATAAACGATATACGAGACAAAGATGAGTTTCGTTCATCATCACGTTTGACAGCTCATTTCTTCCGCAATAATTGACTGAAGTATCTCCCATGTGTGTATATACGTGTGTATTATAACACATATAAATAATGCTCTTACGTAAGATTATTTATGAAAAAAAAAAAAGAGTGAATGAGAATGAGAGTGAGAGTACGAGATGGTATTTAAACGTAAGTGACACACGTAAGGAATAAACAAGACACGAAGAAATGTAAAAAGAAGAAGATGGAGAGAATGAATAAGAATACGAAAAGCAATAGAAAGAGAGAAGTAAACGGAGTAGGTAACTCGCCTGAACAATGTTGCGTTTGAGGAACCGTGGTAGCAACTGCCCGCAGTAACAGTCGTCAGCTGATTTCGACTGGCTGGCTGGATTGCTGGCTGGGTAAACGATAAGCTGATTGGTCGAGCGTCGAATAGAAGGGAGGATGGATGGTAGACGAGAAGGGAGAGATAGTAGAAGGAGCGGCATGGTGGGGGAGGATCATTTCAAAGCAGTCACAGGGACGTATCACGTTGGGGCGACAATAGGTCATCATCCCAGATGTCAATACTCTTCACTTTTTCACATTTACATTTCTATTATTTACTTCTCTTATACATATATATATATATATATATATATATATATATATATATATACATGCATATATATATTTATATATGTGTATGTGTGTAGATGCTATATTTTATCGTTAAATATGTATAAAAAGATATGCAATTTTAACGTCATTTTATTGTTTTAACAGAATGTATGTATATAATGTTTGTCTATATGTTTATTATTATTTGGTCTTATTATTACTAGTATTATTAATAAAATAGTGTTGGGAAGATATATGTCTGTAGACGGGGGTTTAGTTCTGATCGATCGTACGCCATCAAAGAATTCCATTCATCTGTCTATTAGCTAAGAGTCTATGAATCATGGTGATTTTCTTTTATATATACTTAAAAGGTTATAAAAATATTCTTTTGTTTTCTCATTAATTTTTTAATGGTATCTGAAGAAAAACAAAAGAAATATATGTTGTTCGTTAAACGGTTGCAATCTTTTAACGATGATGACCTTTGTACACGCGTATATATTCATATACATAAAAGTTGTGTTATACTATCCGCTCAATTTAGAACGTCAAAAGGTCGTCATAATATCGGTAAAAAGCAAGTATACACTTGCACAAGGAGTATCGTAAGAATTATATGAAACTCCTTTGTCCTATCTTCGTAACAGTAAAGACTTATTTACAATCTCATAAAAATAGAACGAACACGAGCGTTTTTGTGCAATGTTAATTGCGAAAATCATTTCGAATTTGGCATCGAGTCGTTATTATTTCTCGGAATATTTCCATTGCGTTTCTTCTTAATAAATGTCACGCGATTATTTTCATTCTAATTCATTTTTGTAAAAATCTATTATATGATCGGGGTGAGTGGGGGATATCGATTTGCTTGTTACGGGACTGAATACAAACGAGTAGGTGGAGGGGGAACGCTCAGCTGGGCGAACAGCTGCTGGACGCTTCTTAACAACAGGAACCAATGCAGCTCCCTGAAGAAGAATTATTTATCTTTTCAATTTCATACGACACTGTCATTATATGCAAATTTCAAATTAATGACATAACACGTGTAACACCTTATCGGAATTACGAAGACTCCTAATTTCAAATGTTAACCTACTAATCGATTATTTATTAACAATTAATTCAACATAAACAATGATTTATTCCTTCATTTAGATTTCAGTTGATAGATGTAATGTGTATGTTGATGCCACTGCATATGATACCTATCGTAAAACAGTGGTTCTCAAACCTTTATCGATTTGTATCGATCGATAATAATAAATCAAATAAACAAAATTTAATAATTATTATTCCTAATTTATTATAATCAATATCAATCATTTCTCGTCGAATATCACTTAACTTCTTATCAATATCCAGTCAAAAAGACGACGTTTTCATTAAATCAATGCAGTTACGTTCCTAACCTTATTGCTATTAATCATTACAATATATATATATACTCATACATTATATAAATGATATATAAAATAATTATTTAAAAAAAACAAACGATATGACACGTGTTTACAAGTGTTTACAGAATCTGTTGATAGAACGCCACTGATTAAACACGAAAGAACGATAGTTCACGAGACTGCGCTGTTTGTCACGTCGATAGTTATTTCAGAGGTAGGAGGGTGGAAAAGAGGTAAAAAGGAACGAGGGAAGGGTTTATTACCTCGCTATCAACGTCAAACTTTTGTCTACTTTGTCTGTAAACATATCGTCTCGAATTTAACGATTATTTTATATTTATTCATGTGCAATAATTTGCTTTTAAAAAAATAATATTCTATAAGTGCATTAGAAAATATATAAATGAATATAAAAATGATTTTTTTTATCTCAGCCTACTACTATTTGAAAACTGGGAAAAAACGTGTAATGTATTCTTGTTATGTTAATATCATTTGTATAAAATTGTAGGGTAGGAGTTTTAGTTAATATAAATGAAGACGATTTGTGTTAACAGTTCTGTTGTATTTTTTTTAATTTTGTCACAAAGTCATGGACTTTGTTTTTAGAAACCGCATTCTCCCAGTTTCCATCTACTTTAAAACTAGTTCCAACAATTACTGCGTCTGAAGATTTATAGTGATCTATGTTTTCGATAGATACTCCTGATCCAATAAGAACCGGTCCTTTAGCAACCTTTTTAACTTCTGCATAGCATTAATTTTTGGTTTTTTCATTTGTATATATTTAATATAATCTCACATTAATCCTTTGCACTTGAGAACTCTGAATAGGAGTCGTTTTTATACTTTGTAACATAATGAAAAAACAAATTGTAATAACATTATTTCCTCTTCTAAGAAAAGGCAAATTAAATCTTTCCAGAAAAGTATCATGCAAAATAACTGATATTACGAGTAAAAAAAACATTCGAGTGCAAAGGGTTAATTTAAAAAATAGAAAACAATTACCGTTCAATTCTTGTAGATCTGCTGGATCCCCTGTTGCTGAGCCTGTTAATATAACACCATCGGCTAAAAAGAATTCTGCAGCTTTGACTGTTTCTGCTATACTGATATCTGATGTTATCGCATGTGAACTGCATGGTTGAACAAAAAATATACAATACACAAATACAATAAAATAACAAAACCATTAAATTAAACAATCTATACTTCAATCTGTACCTATGTTTCTTTTTGATATCCGCAAAGATGAGTATATTCTCTGCGTCAATATGTTTTCTATAACGAAGAAGATTTCCTGAACAACCATCTATAAAACCTTCATCTGCAATATGTGAAAAGATATAACCTTCGCTTCTAATGAAATTGAAATCGGCTGCTTTGGCAACAGCTAATGCTTCTTTATTACAACCTGCTAAAATCTGCACGATCAATAAAACAATAAACATTATAATAAATATATATAAGTATAATTCTATACAATAAATTATTCTAATTCTTACTTGTATACCACAAGCTATGCTTTCAGGTATCACTTTCCTAATTTCAACGCAAACTTTTGTCATCATCGCTGTTGTTTCTGATGATATATCTTTAGATTTAACATATGGTACGTCGTGCATATTTTCTACAATAATACCATCCTAAATGTAACACAATAGAAATAAATAATCAAGCGTAAAAAAGGACATAATTTTGTTGTTTAATTATTTACCACTTGACAGTCTTTATAAATCATTGCCTCTCTCAATGTATTTTTTATTATTTCTTTCATACTTCCATTGTATTTAGGAGTACCTACAAAATAAATTTTAATTATATATTTGTCATTCCAATTTCCATTTTATAGAAAATATTAAATAATAAAAAAGAAATCATATACCAGGTAATGCACCAACATGTATCATTCCTATAACAGAACATGCACTTTTTGGAAATAATTTACGAAATCTTAACATATTTTTATCTAACAATAAATTTACAATCTTCGATTTACGCGTTAAATATTTGAAATATAAAAATATGTACACAGTAAGAAAATTGTATAAAAATAATATATATAGATATACTCTTATCGATACATCCTATACACGTGATCTCAGTGCCCAATAGTAAATATGCGTATATATCTTATATTTATTACATATATACAACAAGAAAAATACAATATTAGTATATAATTTCTTTAACTACGTCACTTATTGTTTTTTAAATGAGTTCACAGAAATAAAGGGGTATAATAAATAATAAATATTTAACATATTAAATCACGTAACCTAACTTTAGTCTACAATGACACCTGTCATATTTTTATAAAAAGATTTGAATTAAATTTTGTACACAAATATTGACTTTTTTATTTATAGATTTTTATACAAGATGTTACGTCACAGATTATTAAATATTACTAAACAAGCAAGCCATGCATCAAAGAGAAAAGTTATTAAATATACTAGCACAGGCATGTATGATAAATGAGCAATTGTTTATGAAACTAATAATAATATTACTGTTATTTGTTTAGGATTATTACTAGTAGGTGCTAGCTATATGTTAACTAATCCAAACAAAGGAAAACCATTTCAATTTAAAGCTGCAAGTATAGCTAGATTTGGACGATCACTTATGATAGGATTAACAGTATCCTTAGATTACTGGATAGCTCCGTTAATCGGTCACACAGAATCTGAAATTCATCAGCGAGCAGCAGATCGTATCGTACAAGGGTGTTTACAAAACGGAGGAATATATATTAAACTTGGACAAGGCTTAGGGGCTGTTAATCATATCCTGCCTAAAGAGTATGTTAATTCTTTAGAAATTTTACAGGTATCTGTAATACGTAGTAAATTTTATCCAATGATCATTGTAACATTGACTCTAAATATTTGTTATCGTTTCTTTTACTAAGGATAAATGTTTGATACGTGGTGAAAATGAATTACGAGAAATATTTATGCAAGAATTTGGAAAAGAACCTAAGAAGGTATTTAAGAAGATCGACGAACAACCTATCGCAGCTGCTAGTTTAGCACAGGTATATAAATGAAGACAATTATTTTTAAACGAATGCATATGTTCAATATGATAACAAATATTTAGGTTTACAAAGCAGAAACTATGGACGGTAAGCTTGTAGCTGTTAAAGTACAATACATTGATCTCAGAGACAGATTTTATTCCGACATGAGAACATTAAATTATTTACTTAAAATTATTACAATTATGCATCCGAAATTCAATTTACATTGGGTAATAGATGTAAGTAAATATGATGTACACAAATAATCTCTGTTTTTTATTATTATTTTTATCAATCATTTTCAAATTTATTTTAGGAACTTTTTGAAACGTTAGCACAAGAATTAGATTTTGAAATGGAAGGGAAAAATTCTGAGAGATGTGCCAAAGATCTTAAAAAACATGATTATGTACATATACCTAAAGTTTATTGGGATCTCAGTACGAAGGTTTAGAATTTTATTATTAAAATGAGACTTTAATATTTTCATATCCTCAATTTAAATTATTTTATCTTGTATGTATTTTTATTCTAGAGAATTCTTACAACTGAATGGATCGATGGTATCAAAATAAACAATGTTAAAGAATTAAAGAGCAAAGGACTAAACTTACGCGACATAGATACTAAATTAATTACTTTAATGGCAGAACAAATTTTTCATACAGGATTCGTTCACGGTGATCCTCATCCTGGCAATAGTAATTTTTGAAAATTTCTTATTCCTTTTAAAAAATATCAATAAATTGAAATATATAAAATAGATTCTTGTAACAAAATAATTTGTCATCTATAGTTTTTGTTAGGAAGGGACATGATAATAAAGCACAAATAGTTCTATTGGATCATGGATTATACGAGTATTTACCAGAGAAAACAAGAATTAGTTTATGCAATTTTTGGGAATCTATGATATTAAAAAATAATCATGCTTTGAATGTCTATGGTAAAGAATTGAATGTCGAGGGTACGTATAATCTTATTAAAATCTTTTTGGATGTTCCAGTGCATTACAAATAAATACAATATTTTTTTAGATCCTATTCTTTTAGCTGAAATGTTAACTCAAGCGCCGTATTCGTTATCGCCATTTTTAATGGCTGAGAAAGGAAAGAAAACGGAAGAACATATGATTAAACAAGCCCAAGAACATTTTGATAAGATTGCAGCAACGTTAAGAACGATGCCTAAAACTATGATGTTAATTATTAGGTAATTACTGCACATTGTTTCGTTAAAATGAAGAATCGGAACGCGGATTAAAATAATTGTATATTTTTGTTATTTAAGAAATTTAAATACTATTCGTGCTATCGTACAAGATCATGGGAATATAATAGATCGTTATAGAATAATGGCAAAAATTGCTGTACGTGGAAGATACAAAGTTACAAATTTATCGATTAAAAAATACATCAAAGGAACGATATACAAAGTAAAATTTGAGACATATTTATGGTAAGTTAGTTTTCTAAGATTAACCCCTCGTGCTATAATTTAACATATAGTGTTTGGGTCGTAAAGCATATCACGAGTCTCACATGTTGTTATAGCATACAAGGGGTTAATAATTATTATTAGTATTATTTAGATTTATTAATCATTTTTTACAGGCTATACAGTTTCATTCAATGGTTACTTAAAACTTATTTAAATGTTTTATGGTTAATGGGATACGACACTAAACAAGTTGTCCAACTTGTAGCGACACAATCTTTCGTTATTTAATTAATTAATCAAATATATAAAAGCTTAATCTTTGATTTTTATAGAAAGAAAATACATGATAAAATTAATTACGATAAGCATACATTCTGTAAAGATTATTTTATGTAAAAGAATATATCATTATATTGTATATTACGAACGGTTCGTTCGGATTAAACCATCGAATTAAAAAAAATTGAGATTTAATTAATATAATCCAATACTAAGATGAAATTCTTTTATATATGAAATGTGAAGAAAAAAAAACAAAATAAAAAATATAGATATAATATTTTTGTAATATAAGCTAGTTTTAATAATAACTTGTTATACACTTGCATTTATTGTTACTAAAAAATAATAATGCACCTCTCCATTTATAATATAACTTGCTAAGTAAAACTTATAATGGTGTAAACGTGAGCAAAGTTTTACTAATTATAACAATATTATTTTCTTACTTGTATTTATAATTTCTTTTTGTTTTTGTATTTTGTTACAAATTATAACGATGCTTCTTTTTTCTATATTATTTTCTTTCATTATTGTAACTAATTAATTTGTGACCGTAAAGAATGTAACAAAATCCTTCCAAATAAATTTTATTACCTAGTAAATACATTATTTTGAATAAATTATTATCTAGAAAGTGACTTCTTTTTCATCGGTAAGATTTGAAAGAAGCTTGACATATTAATTATGCATTACTCGTACGTATGATCAACTATCGTTTAAAAAAAATGAAACAAGAATAAAATTCTTCCTTATTTTCATTCTCTTGTATTTTGTATACATATGAAACACTGGTGGCATTCAATCTAATATCATTAATTTTGTCTTTCGTGAAATAATATCAGGAATTGTTAGATTTTTCTTTTCTTTTTTTCTTTTTTTAAACTGTATTGTTAACAATCAGTACTATATATATTATTTAATGCCCAAATAGAGTTTGTTGTTCTTTAAAAGATTTTGTATTTAAAATGATGATAGTGAGACGGATAAGTAATGCGCTAACTAAGCTACGCATTTTGGTAAAGTGATTTTGAATATATTTTTTTCTTTTTGATGATTCAACATGAACTTTAAAAAAATTTTTTTTAAGAGCACAACACGTATTACTCATCTGCATAATCCAACAGGAAAATTAAATATGTCAGAATAAAATAGATAGTCTTCCAGATATTACCACTTATATACATTCAATTATTTTTTGTTTTTTTTTTTCTTTTTAATATGATAATATAAAATCAAATTAATAGAGACGAATATTTAGAGATGTTGGTGCATGTTAAGTAATACTTTCAGTTTAGCTTTATGTACTGATATAACAATAATAATAATAATAGTAATAATAATAATAAATTAAAGGAGTATGATCTTTTGTTATAAGCAAGCTGAAATAGATTTTTAAAAAAGAATTTATGATTTTTTCCGTGGAAAATAAAGATTAATTGTTTAGGCAGTTTTTGCTCGAATAGCAGCACGTTTCCCTGTGACAGCCTAGAATAGTATAAAATACGACATATTATAGTTAAGAGTATAACGTAACAATATACCTATTTTTTTTAAATCTCATACCAAACATATGCAAATAAAAAATGTATCTTACTTGAAACCCAGATTTTATACTGGCTACGGAGCACCTAGACCCACAAGTTTCACATTGTAAGAAAAATAGCCTAGTATCTTTCTGAAGGATGGTGTCAGGTGAGCGACACGTGTGACAGGTAACATATTCCTTAATATATCTCCTAAGGACATTCTCTATTTGTTTTTGCTGGAAACGTCCTTTGATAATAAGTTGGCTGTTACCATCTACAGAGCCACTAGTACCCAATTCAGCCAATAAAAAATCAAGCAAATGTTTAGCTTGTCTATGTAATGTTTTGCAAATCTATCCGAAACAAAGATTTTTAAAAGTATTAAAAAAAGTATCGATAATTAAAATATTACATACTAAGTAATACATTTATAACTAAATTTTACCTCTGTAAAATTAGCAAAGGATGTTTTTTTTGTACCTATGCGTACAACCTGCGGAGGACGCATAACAAACTTCTGTTTCTTACCGGCCACCATATCAGGATTCTTTTCTCGCATGATATTAAACACTCGTACAAGTAATTCATCATACGTATAATCTCTATCTGATCCGATCCACAAACTTGGCACCTCCACTAAAGAGTAAACATTATGCCTTAGAAATTAATTTCAAAAATAGAAAAAATTTGATTTATACATTAAGTGTTAAGTCTAAAACAGGTCTATAGAAACCAGCATCATATTTAATATGATAAAAAATTAGGATTGATAAATGCTAAATATATTTATATTGGATTACATGACTCTTATATAGATAGGATCCCATTATTTGTATTCTTACCGTACTCTGCACTTTGCTCAGATTCAGTGCAGCATGTTAACAAATAATAAATATGATAAACCAACTGAAACTTTAATAGATCGTTCTATGTCAGATTATATTTACCATTTTCCTTATCTTCGATATCCTTGCGTTCTTCTTCCGCCACTAATTCGTCTAAATCCTTCTTCCTCTTCTTCTTCTTTTTTGTTTTAGAAAAGTCCATGTCTAAATCCAAGTCATCGTCCACGGCTGTTTCTTCAACCGGTGGCTCCATAACATCCTTTAAATATAAAACATTTATTAAACATTATCATAACGTTCAAATGAAATTAACATTTGGTATGCAAAGGTAGGGTTTTATTTTTTAAATGACATTTACTTCTTTTTTAGTGTCCGGCAAAGCAGCATCCAAGTCATTCAAATTAAACGCCTTTTTCTTTTTTTTCTTTTTCTTTCCAAAATTTTCTAAATCCAACGTTTCGTCATCCTCAGCCATTAGGGGCTCAGGCTCTTGGTTTTCCTTATTGCCTGTAATTTCATTTGCATCACCTGTACTACCAGCTTCATTAAATTCTCCATCGATGTCAAACATGCCCTTCTTCTTTTTCTTCTTCTTCTTCAAGCTAGGGTCAAAGATCTATGAGAGAAATATCATCGTTAATCTTTAATTATTTGACTCCACCATTTATTATAATAATTATGAAACTAAATCAATATACTACTAATGAGAGAAATTTGATTGTGTAATTTGATTTTGAAATTAGGATAATCTTAACATCTGGACATTTAATAAAATTATAATAAATTAAATGCTTTATTAATTAATAAGAAATTTTCAAATGAAATCATGCTATTTAAACGTAAAGATATCAGTGAAATTAAATGTGGATTTTATTTATCACACATTATCAAATTCTAAACTCGTGGCATAACATTTTCTTATGATGGCGAAATGTCCACATGCTTTTGAGGTTGGGTTTCTCTGAATTAGCACGAGTTTTAACTTTAATGATGTTAACCTCAATAAAATTGTTTGAAATGTTTTACAGTATCGCTATTATTCGAATAATAATATCTAATATTAATAAAAATGTCTATAAAATGTGTTAATACAATTTATGATTTCATTCTTCTTCATTCATGATGAAATATGTTATTTAAAGATAGTTTGATGATATATGACTTACCGAATCTTCTTCTGTCATTTTACACGTCGAATTAAACTGCTGAAAAGAAAACTGAAATATTTGATAGTTTATAATAACTTTAACTAGATTATTTTATGAATATCTCACAACACTTTGATCGAAACTCGTCCACCCAACGTATTCAAGACTTCTTCCAGAATGTTGCATCAGAAATTCGACTTTTGAACCTGTGGGCGTATTTTTATTGCTGCGACCATTTCACACTCGCATAATGGCGATTCTAATAATATTTATTTTCCATTATCTAAATGTATTTTTCTAATCAATTAAATATATCTTACATTTTGATAAAAAAAACAAATTTTGGAATAATTTTTATTAATTAATAAAATCTTAATTATGACGTTTGGTAACAATGGATGCTATGATCGATTTATTTGTCAGATTTATACTTAAATTGTTCGATTATTGATCTTATAATTATTTATATACCATTTATTTATAATTTATTACAATTTATTAATGAATTATCTATGACATAAAATTAGACCAATCAACGAGAAGTATCTTACCATAAACGATTTTCATGAAATAGTGTATCTATGTATGGTCTATTTGATTACATGTAAATATAACCTAAGTTTTACCCTTCTGTCGTTAAATTATCTGTAAATTGTGCTTGCTTTGGCTCGCTCGCTCAACGCAACAAATAATGGATGACTTGTGTTGTTATTTGCAAGGAAGATTATTGCATGTAGACGAATATAAATAGTAAATTATTGATTAAACCAAATTCCTTAAGTTTATATCAAATCAAAGGATGAAATATTTAGTTATTTAATTAGTTCTAATCACGAAGACGTAACATTGTTTTGGATCTCGAATAGAAAAAGTGACAGTGTGTTGTGTGGTGTGTACTTTTCTAACACCATAGGTTGTATATTTTGTTTCTATAGAAGAGTGATTAATTAATTAATTAATTAATTACTGATCAATATGTGATTCACGTCAAAAGAAAGAGTGAAAAAAGAAAAAAAGAAAAATAAATAAATATTAAATGATCATTAGAAAATATCGTTTAGATTTCCTCCATTAAAATGGGGGGAGATAATTTACTTGACATAGAGCTCATGAAATTATGTAAACCAGATAGGGGATGTATTTGATAACTGGCAATTTAAAGTCCAACACTGTTGTTGTTATTGTGCCTGAATAATATATATAGCCTTGTTCTATGTGCCTAATGCACTAATACTTTTTTCATCATGGTAAATAAGCCAAACACGTACAGTTACGATTTTTGGGCAATAACACCGACAGAAGTCGTTGAGCTAACATGCCTAATGCCCAATGGTGTGTTAGTTCCACTCGATACAAATCGTAATGCTATATTGGCTGAAATTAAAGAAGTAAGTATTTGTCTTCTTCTACAGTTCTTTGGTTTCATTCATTATGGTAATTGATTCATTTAAGTAGAAAAATGGTATAAGATTTCATAGATATTTTCTTAACAGAGTCTATGTTAACGATTAATAAATTATGTATATTTTAGGATCTTTGGGACGAGGCTAGCAAGTATCCCCTTCATGGAATATTAAAAGATGCGCAATCATATGTATTTTCATACATTAACACTAACGCAGAAGCAGAAGAACTGAGAGATGAATCAAGACGTCTTTGTGATATTAAACCATTTTGTTCTGTATTAAAAGTTATTGAACGGGAGGGTATAAAAAATGATAGGAATTTAGACGCTCAAATAGGTCATATTATTGGAAAAGGATTACATGAATTTGCTGCCTTAAAAAATTCAGAAGTCAATGACTTCAGATGGAAGATGCGAGTGTTGGGTGACGAAGTGGCTCGTGCTAGACAAAAGAAATCGTCTATGGAGAAAGTACAATATCAGTATCCGTTAAGGTTAGCTCCAACTCCTGAGATACCTAAAAATATTGAATGTCGACTGAAGGATGGAAATCTTGTTCTCGTTACGAAATTCAGGAATTCAGAGGTATGCAATAATTGTTATATTATAAAAATAAGCATTAAAAAGTACAAAGCTATAAAAGAGATTAGTTTTACATATTTTTTGAAAGTAAAACTTTTCATTCACTATCGCTGCAATTATTTTTAGTCTTTCATTATTATTATTATTTAGACGATTTAGATGAAGAAATATACATAGTCTGATATGGTTTACGAATTTTCTTCTTATCTTCACTTAGTTTCTTTTTTAAAGACGAATCGTTGTCAGATACACTTTTGGTATCTTCGTTAAATTGTACGTTTTTCTTAGATTTTTGTGTTTTTTCGATTAAATTTAAATTAGTTGCTTCATTAGGACCTAATGTTGCATCATTCTCCGTTGTTTTGCATTGTCCTATGTTTGCATTCCCTTCCAATTTCGTATTTACAAATTTGTTGCTGCCACTATCAAGATGATTTTGATCAGACGCATCTATAGATTTGGGATTATTCACTGATGATGTATCTTTGAATGCCATTAATTCAGATGGATTAATTTCCATATTTTTCATTTCTTGTTTATCGAAAATATCTTTATAATTAATTTTATGCTGTTCTATAGATTCAAAAATTGATTTACAATCCGAAACACATGAGTTTTCCAATTCCAACTGACTTTGAATAACCGATAATTGTGTCTGCAAAGTTTAACGTTACAGTTAATTATACATATATAAAAATAGTTTTATGTTTAATTTAAAAACACTTACTTCCATGTACATCGCTCTACACCGCCAATATTGCATTTGTTTGGTCACTTTATTTTTCATTTCAATTTGAAACAGCATATCGACAGAATCTCGTTCAATTTTTTGATTCAATTCTTGGATTTGTTTTTTTTTTTCCGCCAGTAACTTTTCCAGGTAGCTGAAGTATTATATATAATATTTTTTTGTACAAATGCACAACATTTTATTTTGTAAACAAAAATATGCTTACCTAAACGAATCGTCATTTGTTTCTTTTTCAACTTCTTGAATTTCTGATAATCTTTTTTCTAAATCACGAATTCTATTTTTATATCTATTTGTTAATTCGTTATCATCTGAAAATGTATTCATACACTCGTCCCATTTTTTCAATAATGATGCTTTTTCTACTTTAAAAGAGTTCATCTCTTTACATTTTGTTTCATATGCTCGCTTTAGATCATCATATTTTTTTTTTATTGCAGTCGCTTTATTTAATGTCAGCAGATATCGATCCTCGACTTCAGCAAACAAAGAATTACCTGCAATAGAATTACAATGATTATTTTATCTTTTTCGATGTTTCTTCCTTTTTTCCCCATGTGTGATAATTAATTTAAAAGATTACCTTTGCATGTTTCACTAGCAGGAACAATTTTCAATGTTTCTAATTCTGAGCGACAAATAGCTAATTCTTCACGAACAGTTTCTAGTTCCTCAATTTTTTCTCTCAAATTATTTTTGGTCTCCTATGTAATAAAATATAGTTCTTGGATTAATTTTTTCATTATGGTCTAAACAAAAATCTCAACAAGAGGCTTTAACGCATTTAATTTTAAATGCATAATTTTTTTTCTACAAAAATAATATTCGTACTTGGAAAATTTCTTGATGTTCAACAAGTTGATTTTTAAGATCTTTAACATAATCTTCAGTATCCTCTCTTTTTCGTCTTTCATCTTCTAAATTATATAGAAGTTCTTGGATCTGATCCCTCAACGGTTTTAATTTTTCTTCGATATCGTCGATTTTAAAAGATTTATCTTGTTGCTTATTTACTTTCAGTTGGTGCAATGATTCATGTAATTCCTTATTTTCTTTTTCTTTCTTATTTAATACTGATCCTAATTCAGCAAGTTGATTTTCATACACTTCTACATTTTCTCGGTTTCTAAATATTAGAAAAAAAAATTAAAGATAAAAGAGAAAATCAAAACATACATAATATTATTATAAACATTTTAATATAATAATTAATTTATATATATAATAATTACATATGTTTATTTACTTTTCTTGAATTTTATGTATTTTTTCTTGTTCTTTCTCTTTTTCCTTTAATAGCAATTGTTCCAAGGATTCATTAGCTTCTTGGAGTTCCCTTTGCATAGCATCAGTATGGATAAGTTTTAATTGCAATTCGTGTAACTCTTGACGATAATTTTCATTTTGTTGTTGTAATTTTCGATAATCTGATGCATTTCCATCCAAAGTCTCGCTTAAATATTCACTTTTTGAGTTTATAAAAGCACTCTCATCAGACGAAGTCATTGTGTCAGACATTTTGAGGTTATGTTTATGTTTTTCTCAATGCCAGCGTTTGGCGGGAAACAATGGAAGATATTTAAATTTGTAATGCACTTTAGATGTACTACGTTAATATTTAAATGAAGAGTTTATTCTATTAACAATACATAAATAATACATATATATATATATATATATATATATATATATAATTAAATGAGGTACAACTATTTGTTAATGAATATAAAATATGTAATAAAAGCATAATTATTGTATTTAATTATAATGTATATAAATTAAAAGTTTATATGTGGTAGATTGAAAAGTTTTGAGCTTAACATAGAAACAAATGTTGTTTTATATATAAATGATGTTTTTTAATATATTGTATATATATTAACAAAAACTTATTATTTTTTAGACATCTTTCACGTTTCAAATTCCGCATTCTATTACGCCGTACGAGCTATTGGTACTTATTTTAAATAAGAGAGCGAACACAATGATGTTAAGAGGGGAACATCCAAACGACTTTATACTTAAAGTTTGTGGTCAAGAAGAATATTTGATTGGAGAATATCCTCTTATACAGTTTAATTATATTCAAGATTGTTTAGCAAAAGACATTACACCGACGCTTATTACTCTCAATGTAGATAGTGTGTCGTTAGATCAGGATAATGGTCCTGAGAATCCAGATGTCGATGCACTGCAACGCACAAGACCTTCCTTTTCTACGCTTACACTTCGCAAGAAAGGCAAACATATTTCTGCTTGGAAGATAGATGATCAATTTACGTTCACTGTAAATGGTATTTCTCGACTCAACTGTGATGCTGCCCATCGGACAGTAGAGGTATTACAAAAAAATCGTAATTAATTAATTAAATTACCTAGTAGTATTATTTAATTTGTTCAAATATTGTATATGTAGATTGGGTTGCAAGCTGGCCTTTTCCATGGCGGGAAGTCATTGTGCGAGAGTCAGAAAACCAAAGAAACTATAGTAAGCTCTGATGGTAGTTGCGAATGGGAAGAACTTCTTAGATTTGATATTAAAGTTAAGGATATACCTCGAATGGCACGTTTATGTTTTGTCTTGTATGAAATTAGTAAAACTTCAAAAGGCCTAAAGAGTAGAAGACTGGTTAAGGATTCTAAGCAGGAATTCTTTATAAATCCTTTGTGTTGGGCTAACACAACTATATATGACTTTAAGTCTCAATTAAAGACTGGAGCAATGACATTATATACATGGACATATGCAGAGGATATGCAGAGCGATGATTTACTTCATCCTTTAGGAACAGTAGTATCAAATCCACATATTGATAGAGCAGCAGCACTTATGCTGACCTTTCCTAAGTATGTTTATGCTTTTCTTTCTTTTTTTTCTTTTTCTCTCAAATTATGTTTATGATATAAATTTTTAATATTTGTTGAAATATTTGAAAAGATAAAAAAAATCAATTTTTATTACAGTTATGGAAAGGAAAAGTCTGTGCTCTATCCTACTCCAGAAAAAATGGTCGAATATGCTAGAAAATTACGTGAATCCGGTAGCGAAAGAGTAATGCAAGAAGAACCAAATCAAGAAAATGATATTAATAAGTTTCAGCAATTAGAACAATTAAGATCTTTGGCGGATAGAGATCCCCTACATGAACTTCACGAACAGGAGAAGAAAATAATGTGGGCATTGAGACATCACTGTCTTCATGAAATTCCAACAGTTTTGGCTAAATTATTGCAATGCGTTGAATGGAATGATCACAGGTAACATTAATTATTTAATATCAATTTTATGTACTTTAATGGTCAAAAATTATATAAAATCTTATTGTTGTTGTTATTTTTTCAGAGAAGTAGCAGAAGCTACAGCATTAGTACAACAATGGCCAGTGTTGCCAGTAGAAAAAGCATTAGAATTATTGGATTATGCATATGCCGATCAAAATGTTAGGAGTTTTGCTGTACGTTGTCTTTTTGATGTCAGCGATGAGGATTTGAGTTTGTACCTTTTACAATTGGTTCAAGCATTGAAACATGAAAATTATTTATCGTGCGATTTAACTGAATTTCTATTAGGACGTGCCCTTAATAACCAAAGGATAGGACATTATTTGTTTTGGCATCTTCGGTTGGTTAATATTTTCATATTGCTGCTTGTATACACTTGCGTAAAAATAAAAATTAATTAAACATTTTATATTTCAGGTCAGAAATGCAAGTTGGTTCAGTTTCCGTTCGTTTTGGTCTCATACTTGAAGCTTACTGCAGAGGTAGTCAACAACATATGCGAGCACTTTTTAAACAAATGGAATGCTTGGATAAGTTAAGATGTGCTTCTGAACAAGTTAAAATGAAAAAAGATCGTAAAGTGGCACTACAAAGCTTTCAAGAATATATTCAAGAACCTCATTCTCAAGAAGCATTATCCAATGTTCTGAATCCATTAGATCCAAGTTTTAGGTGGAAACATTTAAAGTAAGCTTTGTAAAAACTAATATTTTGTTAAACAACTCTTTTGTACTTTCTTAGCTTCATGTACTGTATTGTATGAATTTTTTTTCTTTTAACATTTTCTTTTTCTTTCTATTTTTAGAATAGAAAAGTGTCGAGTTATGGATAGCAAAATGCGACCATTGTGGCTTGTATTTGAGAATGCGGATCCGTTTGGCGAAGACATTTATTTAATACTTAAACACGGCGACGATTTGAGACAAGACATGCTCACGCTTCAAATGTTAAGAATTATGGATAAACTATGGAAAAGAGAAGGTTTAGATTTACGTATGAATCCGTACGGTTGTATATCTACAGAAAATAGAGTCGGAATGATCGAAGTAGTTTTAAATGCTGAGACTATCGCTAATATACAAAAGGAGAAAGGAACATTTTCTGCTACTGCCGCTTTTAGGTACATTTTATTGCAGATATGAACCTATTGCAATATATTTAATTTTTTATACTATTATCGAATAATTTTTTAGGAGAGGTTCATTGTTAGCTTGGTTGAAAGATTATAATCATACGGAAGCAGCTTTAAATAAAGCCATAGAAGAATTTACATTAAGTTGCGCTGGATACTGTGTAGCAACATACGTTCTTGGAATTGCTGATAGGCATTCTGATAACATTATGGTTAAAAAGACTGGTCAATTATTTCACGTTGATTTTGGTCACATCCTTGGACACTTTAAAGAGAAATTTGGATTTAGACGTGAACGCGTTCCGTTCGTTTTAACAAACGACTTTGTTCATGTAATTAATAAAGGACAAACTAAAAAAGGTCAAGCGGTTGAATTTCAACGATTTCAAAGTCATTGCGAACAAGCTTTTTTAATTTTGAGACAGCACGGTGGTTTAATTCTTTCCTTATTTGCGATGATGATATCTACTGGACTTCCTGAACTTTCGTCAGAAAAAGATCTCAATTACTTAAGGGATACTTTGGTATTTAATTTATATTTTTATACTTAAGAAAAGAAATATTGAAATTTTTGTTAAATTAATTAGTAATCTTTCTTTCTTTTTTTTTTTTTTAATTGCAGGTATTAGAAATGTCTGAAATTGAAGCTCAAAAACATTTTAGAAGTAAATTCGACGAAGCGCTTTGCAACTCATGGAAAACTTCGCTTAATTGGGCTTCGCATAATATGGCTAAAAATAATAAAACGATATAATGAATTACATTAGAAAAGGAACGATATTATTTCAATGTGTTTGACGATAGTTAGAACGCAAAGTAAAAACGCTACGGATCGCAGCAGCATATGGCAGTGTAAAGTTATTATCGGAGAAAAAAGAAAGAAAGAAAAAAAAAACAAAAACACTTTTTTCAAAGGTGGTAAAAATCAGTGAAAGTATGCCGGTTTTGAAAAAAAGAAACGATTGTCGTCAAAGTCAATGTACTAAGAAGTTGTGAATGAGACAGTATTTACTACTACTACTACACGCAAAGAATACGTATAATGACATGTATAATGTTTTCAAATCGAAACTGTTACAATGTGAATTCGCAGTCTATGGAATGAGGAAAAACAATGCAATTTAGGCGAACGCACTATTACGCTCTCAGTCGTCGTCAATGAATGCGATAACCTATTAAAAAAAAAAAAAACCAAAAAAAAAGAAAGGAAAAGAAAAGACAAAAAAATACCTAATAGTAAGAAATAATACAACACACTGTGGCATATATTTTCAGAGGCTGATGTATGATACATATCATTTCTTAACATAGACAGCCTATTCATAAGTTTAACAATAAAATTATCTTTCATTTGAACAAATATATTGCTTTGAATTTTGTATTAAAAAAAAAAAAAAAAGAAAAAGAAAAAAAAAATAATTTCATTAAAAAATTGCTAATGAACTGGTTAGTAGAAAAGAATTTAAAAAAATCACACTACACTACACGTAGCGCCTTTATTATGGTGGTACATGCATAGAAATTTGACTAGATGATTACTACTGTTTAAAAAGTTCAATTCTATTACGCATAAAGGCAATAAGTACATTCAAGTATATATAAAAAAAATTTAAGGATTCTTACACATAAAGGACGATAAAATAGAACAAAATATAAGAAGAAAAAAGCTATTGTATTTTTATTACTTAGTAGCTGACAGTAGTACAGAAATTAATAATAATATTAATAATAATAATAATAATAAAAAAATAATAATGATAATATTTTATCTTATTATTTACAAAAAAAGAAAAAAAAAAAGAAAAATCACTTTCTGAGAATTATTTCTTAATGAACGTAATATAAATTGTGCTATGCAATAGTCAGTGATAGTGTGATAATTCAAAGCAATATTTATTATTCATACAAAAATTATGTTTTAAAATATAAATTAAATTTATAAGCGGATTATATTATACCACCACAATCAACATCATCACCATCATTACCAGCACCATCGTCATTAACACCACCACCATCACCTCCACCACCACCACCACCACCACCACCACCAGGGTTATTTCTGCCGCTCTAGGTCGACGTGGCGACCGTCTCAGGTGCCAAAAAGAAAAAAATAATAAAAGTGCCGAGAGGACCATTATTTTT